TGTTTTCAGCATCTCTGATGCTGCTGTGAGCAACATGGTCAACAGAGCATGAAATCAATTATTTCACTGTGTATGAAGCCCTGCATCTATTGAGAGATGTCTCTGAAAAATGAAGTCACACAGAATAAGGGATGAAGAGCAGGCTGCAGAAAAGCCCATTGATGCTGGACCGTCAATAAAGGACCAGCTGAAGAGTGCCATGCTGACCAGTTTCCAAGGGGACACAGCAGATCTCTTGGATCAGAGCCTGTCTGGGTACTTATCACTAGGTGCAGTTAAGCAGCCAACCAGCTGACTTCGCTTTAGGCTGATCTGCAGAAATGGGGTGGTTTGCAGCCTGGGAGTGTGCAAGGGGCTGTAGCTTAGAGCTACAATGTCTATGGGCACTGAAGATAGGTTTGTGTTGTTAAATGACTCTGGGGAAACTGCCTGCTTGTTTTCAGCTCTGCTGGCTTGCCCCTGTCTGCCGGGTTTCCTGGGTTCCTCCTCAGGGAGCCAGTGCCTCTCCTGTGTTGTCACTGGAAGGGTTAAGTGCAGCTTTAGTTGAATACAGCTCCAGTCCTCGCTTTGAGAGTGTCATATTTTTAAAACTTGACCTTGGATGTCTTTTCTTTTTTTAGTAGCTAGGTAGAGAGTTTACTGAAGGGCTGAACCAGCCTGGTGGTCAGGGGACTCTCCTCTTCTGATTTAATTAGAGACATTTGTCACTGCTGTCCTGCACAGTGCAAGGAAAGGAGGCAGTTTGATCTTTTTTATTGTTTTCAGGAGAGGGAGGGGGATGATCTTTACAAAATGGTGTCAACATCAGTAATTTTCTTTTGCACTTACAGGCTCCAGTGAGAATAATGGCTCAGGTCTCTTTGCCCTATGTACTCTAGATGGTAAGTCCTGCCACTGTCCTGGAGAAAGGCCTGTGGGGCAGCCAAGGCCTGTCACTAATTCAAAGCAGGGATCCAGGGGGCTCAGTGCTTTTGATTTTTAGAAGAAAGGGAAGCTGGGCTTTGATTTTGAGATTGAGTTTGATTCCAGGACTCCTTCTGCTGACATATTTTATATGCATACACAGAAGGCACTGTGAAGATAGATGCTTATGTTCACTCTCCCATGGCCAGTGCCCCCTGGCCAGTATATCTGGATAATAGGAGCCTGATAGGTGGGGTCAAGTGTCCAGTATGGATTTAGCAGCCAAGTCCATACCTGTGCTATTAGCAGCTAGGTCTCAGCAGCCCTGAGTGTTGAAGGAGTAGAGCTTAGCATTAGCAAACATCTTGCTCTCTTTTATTGTTTTCAAAACAGTTGTTTGTTTCTTCAGGAACACTGAAACTGATGGAGGGAGCAGACAAACTTCTCTGGTCTGTTCAGGTTGATCACCAGCTCTTTGCTCTGGAAAAGCTGGATGTTACAGTGAGTATCTGAGCAAGGCTGGGAGAGAGGAAAACAAAAACTCAGCATGGCTTTGTGTGTATGAACTTAGGAAGGGCAGAAGGAGTATGACTCAGTTGGAAAAGGCTGGGATCATCTCAGGATGGCACAGAGTATTCTGGCTGTAGCAGTACATTCTGCGCTCAGGTTAGTCTACCCAGCTGCAAGAGGTTGAGCTGTGTCTGCCTGTTAGACCCAGCATCCATTTATCCATTTGTAAATGTCCCCCAGCTTGTCCCCCAGCTTGTCCCCCAGCTGTTCTTCAATCTTACTGCAAAGCTAAATGGTTTTGCTCTCTGCTAATACCCTGATTGTTTAAAAGCTCTTACAGTATGTAAGGATTGCCATATAGAAGAGAGATGAGTTTCCAAGTGCAAAATATCTGGATGAGATGTCCAGAAGTGACATCTAGACATTAGTGTTGTGTCTCTGAACCAGCAAGAAAGATTCTTGACTGCCCTGGGAGTAGGTGATACGTGTGTAAAATGCATTCCACTGGTTCCTGCAGGGCAATGGGCACGAGGAGGTGATTGCCTGTGCGTGGGACGGCCAGACGTACATCATCGACCACAATCGGACTGTGGCCAGATTCCAAGCAGATGAGAATGTCAGTGCCTTCTGTGCAGGTGGGAAGCCTGACTGCAAAGCCAGCCCTCACAGCGTTTCCCCCTCAAAACTACTACTCCCATCTAGAAGACCCAGAATTCTTTGTCTGCGTGCAGTGGGGACAGACAGACATTTCCCTGTGTGCATATTGCATAAGGCCCAGTTAGTCTTTCCTCTGGTGGCATCTGGGAACAGTAACGGTGAGAGAAAGTGATGCTGAGGCTTGTCTATGGTGGCTTGGGGGTTTTTTCTTGTCCTTTTTGGAGGTACTACAGTGGTCTCTTGTCCTCCACACTGCTTTTTTAACTTGCAGACTTCTTAGCTGTTCTTAAGTGGAGATGAGGAGCCCATGGAACCAGCCTGAATTTTGGCTCTGCTTAATTCCTTCTCTCAGACCTGCAAGAAGCAGCTTGCAAATCCCCCAGGCTTCATGTGGTTCAGAGACAGCTTCTTGGATTGTCTCAAAGGGACTTTGTATACCCAGGCCCATATCTCTGCCCAGGTGCTCGCTGTTTTCTGGTAACAGCTTTGGTACCTCCTCATGAAATGTCAACTATTCGCTTTCTCTTTCCTTTTGGAGGTAGTCAGATCTCCACACTTCTGCTTTCTGCAGGCCTCTATGCATGCAAAGAAGGGAGCAACAGTCCCTGCCTTGTTTATGTCAGCTTCAGCCAGAAGATCTACATCTACTGGGATGTGCAGCTGGAGAGAATGGAGTCCACAAACCTCTTAAAAATCCTGGATGGTGACCCAGAGTTTGAAAGTCTCCTGGAGCAGCTGGATATAGGTGAGTGCAGAAAGAGTGGAGGATGTACAGAAAGAAAGAGAGGATAAGATGGCATATGATGTGCTGGAAACCAGAGTATTTTTTGAGGAAGAGGCTTTCACACTGCCTGGTGAGAATGCATAACAACTGTTTTTCTCTCTTTTCCTTAGACAAAAACGATGTTTCTGCTGTCAGAAACCTGATTCACAAAACACTCTATTTTCCTGAGAAATACCATCTCAGCAGCCCCTCGCAGGATCCTGCTGGAACTGATTCTTCTGCCCACTGCAGTGGCATCCAGGATCTCTTGTAACAAGAAGGCTGACATCTTTAATGCCAGCACAAGCTCTTCTGCAGCCGGAATTGGGCATCTGATGGAGATGACTATTCTTTCCCTATCTGGTGGGGACTTCAAACAGGAAAGGTTCTACAGGCTGGGAAGGGATGTTCTTGGCTATAAGTTTACCTGTATGTGGCGGGTTGGTTTGCCTTTAGATGAGGCAGCTACAAGAACAGAAAGGGCCAAGGATCCTGCACGTAGGCCTCCTGTTGCCAGTTTCCATATTCCTCGCTAACCAAAGTGCTCCACTGGTCACTGTGAAGGAGCAATGTGGTCCCAGATGGAGAGAACAGCTGAGCCAAGTCTCCATTTTGACCTATTCTTACAAGTAGTCAGTGAATACTTTTGAGTTCTTAGCAGGATCACAGTGCAGGAATTGGAGATGGAGGATCTGAGTTAGGGTGCAGGCATGGGCCTTCTCTCCCACTTAGGTGTATTTAAAGTACATTAAAGACATTGTTTGTCTTTGCTTTGCTGCTGCTCTTCTACCAAGCAGTTTCTCATAAATTGCCTGTTCTGAGTAGCTGGAAACATGCACAACTTGCACTAATAAGGTGTGGAGAGATAGCAGCTCCAGCAAACCCAGCTCTAGTCAAGAGTCATTGCTTGTCTCCATCTTCTTGGGCAGGGTGATCCCAGAGAAGGCTGTGACTAAACAAAGCAGCTGTGAAGCAGTCAGTAAGACCAGCCTGACTTAACTGGTGCTGTGAGAGCTTGGCCACCCCACAATAAGCATTGGAAATGCCACTCTTGCCTGTTGTTGTAGAGAGCATCATGCTTTGAGTCCTGCAAAACTGAAAGAGGTGGGCTGGAAGTGATGTTCCACGGGCTGGCATGAGGAGTCTGCTAAAGGGGAACTCATTTGCAAATGTCCAGGCATGAACTTTTCCACGTGCTGTTGTTACTGTACTTTTCCCTCTCTTAGCTTGTCTCTTTCCTAACTCATCTTGTTCAGAAAGGGGCAGCATGCTTACCTGCTGGCTTGCATTGATTATCCCCTCTCACTTTTGTGTTGTTTTATTGAATGTGTGTGATGGATGGAGCTGTCCCTTCACCCTTCCAGCAGCCTGAGTCACAGCAAATACAATTCAGTGATCTGGAGCAAGTGGCAGCATTTAAAGATCCTGCAGGCAGTTGAAAACCTGCTGTGCTTTACTCTGCAAAATATCCAAGGGCAGCCCTAAGTGGGAGAAAATGCTTTGTATAGAGAAAAGGAGTGTCTTGCCCTTGGGTGAAAGTGACTATTGCTGAAGCAGCCCTGTGTGGTAGAAGGGCAGGATTTTACATAATAAGCCTTAGCTGTTCTTTGCAGTTTCCCTCTGTAGATTTATATAAGCTTTTCAGAGGACAGTGCTGTCCCCTGCCTTTGGTAGCAGTGGAAGTTGGAGCGTGGAGCAATGAAATGGTGTGACCTGCTCTGTACCTGCTAGCTTGCTTCTCAGGCCATTGTATCTTCTGACTCTAACTGCAGTAGAAGTTTTTCTCCATTTTAATGGCCTTGCTGAGAAGCATTTTTAAATGTTCTCCTGTCATACTAAGTGCTTGTGTAAAACTGGACCCTTCAGGCGGGACCTTTCAAGTAATAATAAAGCTTATTAACAGTGGCGTTGAGAGCAGCAAGGCTGGAGTCTGTGAGCTGTGGAGAGCTGATACCACAGGGACCATCTACTCGTGGGCTAAGACAAAGAGTTTGTCTTGAAGCTGTTTGGACCTAGACTGTAACCTCAATAAATTGTCAGCTCTTGTGACACTGAGATGTGCAGCCACCCATCCCAGCAGGAATCATCACCATTGCTTCTGGCAAATAGGGCCAGGCAGGGAAACAGGATGACCTACACTCGTAACAGAACAACTAAGTGCTGTCTGTCCATGCCAAATATAAACCTTTATTAGCAACACCAAATATAAATCTTTATTAGCAGCACAAGCACAAGGGCTGTACAAATAGGTGCATATGGCTGGAACTGTTTTATGTAAAACAAACTGCTGTACAGGTTGAATGATTTCCAAGAAAGGAAGGTCAAACTGTTGGACTATTAATTGTTCAGAAAGAATGGGAAACAGTTGCTGAGGAAGAGATGACATTTTTCTAAAAACCATCTTTAAAAGAAAATAGGGCAAAAGCCTTGCAAATATTGTGCACCCCAACCCTCTTTTACTGGCCTGAGGATAAAATTGCTGTACAAGCCCAGGCAATGCACACTACGAAAAGCAGAGGTGAGAAAATACAGACACTACAAAAAACATCTGTTCCCCAAAACTTTCCAGCTTTTAAAAACCATTGTAGAGGAAAAATACTAACATTTGAGGGCTTCCCCTGACAGTTTTGTATTGCGTGCAGCACATAATAACTTGCAGATGCATTTTGCTCTTGTGCCTCTTGTGCACAAGAGAAAATGAAAAGTGTCTACATCTGTACCATTCCTTGGCCAAAAGATGGCTTTCCTTATTTTTTCCTGCCTTGAGCTCCTAAGTGCCAAATACTTCTTGAAGTCTGTTACTCAGGCTACTTCCACTGGCAACAGTTTTTCTGTGAAGTGTCCATCTTCTCGGGAAAGGAGCCACTTAAGGCTCTGCCTCTGGAGTGATGGAGTTACATTATACTTTCTTTGTAACTAATTGTCTCTTTGTTCTTGCCAGCCGACACAGAGTTGGAATTAGAAGTTGTTCCTTCCCACACAGCAGAAAATGTTTGCTGTATCCTACTCTAGCAGATTGGCAAAACTTGCTGGTGCTGGGAAACTTTTCAACAGGGACACCTTTGCAGGACACCTTTGTACATCCCAGTGCCAGCACACAGCAAGTGAGGAGTCTGACAGTATTCTCAGGCACTGGGGGTATTTGCAGATAAATGATTCATGGCTTTGGTTCTGATGCTCAATTTACTAGCAAAAAAATAAAGGGAGAGGGTTGCCTTATTTTCCTGAGACGTAATAAACATGCTCTCCATCCCTGCCCTCATTTTTATGATCTTTCTGCTATAATTTAGTTATTTCTATAACTCTTCAGGTGTATCCTGGCGTGTGCCAGTGGAGTCTCTTGAAAGGAGGATTGAATGCAAACGTACGTGTGTGGCTCAATGGTTGTCAATGCCATAGCTCACCTGCTGGGAGTGAAAGAAGGAGCAAGCCTCTGGGAATATGGATCCTGCAACTCCCATTCTGTTCAAAACCAAGTGACCCCAAGCTCTTGGAAATGGTCATGATTGTGGCTTTGGCAGAGTGCATGTTCTCAGGGAGGACAGAAGTCCTTCTCCTCACCCTGGGTGTGTTGCACACTGTTCCAGAGATTTGCCATGGCAGGTGTTTCCCTGCAGACTTTGCCACAACTGCTGTGCCCACTCTATGAGAAAGCAGCCCTGGAACTGACCACCAAGGTGGTTCAGAGAGATTTCCCTAAAATAATAACATTCCATTTTTTATATTGAAGGGAAATGCCTCATCATGAGGAAGCCAGTGTTGGACACATGCAGGATGTGCCTATGTCCTGCTCTGAGCTGGCAGTTTGTACTGAACTTCTGCTTTCTGTATGAAAGTGTTAGCATTTTTTGATCTTCAGTGAAAAAGACCTTTAGATTATTCTCTGTTCCCTTTATATCCCAAAAGCAATAGAGATGACTGGAATTGGGAGTAGGGAAGTGTATCTGTATAATAGGCTTTTCCAAGAGAAACTACAATTAAGACAGTCTTCAGCCTTGCCAGCCCACTCAAAAAAATACTTACTCTGCTTTCCAGTGTTGGAAGACTTAAATATTATCATGTTTGTAGATGGGAGTTGAGTTGGCTTCTTTAAGATGTTGTAAGTCCTATTTTACAATCACATTTTAAAGCCAAGACTTCCTTCTGTCTCAATGGAGGCTGTGTTTTGGATGTAATGACAAACATGCTTTGGAGAAAGGAAAATGTTTGTGGGCTAGAATTCAGAATACACAGGTCAAATGCAGTAACAGTGTGTTATTTTATGCCAAGTAACTTGGGGAGGTGAAAAGCCACCAGGAGCTATGTTGGTGTGGAAAGCAGGTACTGGCCCTGCAGGATTAGACTGTGATTTAGTGAATGGGTTGAAGTGAGGTGTCTGCCATGGCACTATGACCTGCAGTTCTCATTTGGTCATATAAATGGGGCTTTTTTCTGGAAGGTCTGCCTGCAGCAAAGTTGGATGGGGAGATTCCAAGATAACTGTTGTCAACGTATTCCTCAAAGTCTGGACAAAAGAGACTTCTACTGAGTGGATCTGTGCGTCCAACTGAAGGAGGAAGGTGAAGAGCATGTCTTCTGCCCTGGAGCTGATTTCAGAGCTGCAAAAAGAACTCCCACTAATTTAGTGCTTTCTTGGAAACATCCTCTCTGTGACTGAGAATTCATACATGCAGTTGTTTACAACAAAGAGGAAAGGCTGGCAAGATTATTGCACAATGTGGGATTGTAGCATCCAGGGTACAAGGCAAGTGTTAAAAGGATTCTCTAAAAAGGAAAGAATCCTTTTTGAAGGGAATTCATCACTTACCAGTGTGAGCAGAAGAAAAGGAGGATGCAAAGAAAGAATCACTAAGCAGAGAAAAAAGGAATAGATAGGGCTGGACATTTTCACCTAGTGTAGCACATCAATTCACAGATGAGCCTGAACTCTTAGTGGTTTAGGATATGAGGCATGTGAACCACAGAAAGGCTGGAGGACATTCTGCATGTGAGCAAAAGCAGTTATTCCAAGACAGACATGTAGGAGCAGCACCTGGTGAATTCCAGCATCAGCTAGTGTGCAGTATCTGCAGGGCTGCAAGTGACAGGCAGTAGTCAAAACAGAATTGTCAGTTGAAAGTCATGGCAGTTTTCTGTAGGATCCCATCCAACACTCCTTTAAAATAATTGGAAAGATTCCTGTTGGCTTCAGTCTGAAGGCTCCTATTCACCTACACCCTTGCCCTAGCCAGGACCCAGCTGCAAAACTGACACCAGGTGCTGCTCTCATGAGGAAGTGGCCAGGACTTGGAGCTGTTGGTGGCCCTCCCCTTCCCATGTACTTGTGGGCACCAGCACAGCCCAGCAGAAGCTGTCAGACACTCTGGAAGGCAGCAGAGATCTGCCTAGGCATCAGCAAAGCCCAAGAAAAGCCCTATGGTGATCCACAGGGAAGCAGGGCCCCGTATGGGCCTCACAAAGCCTGGCAAAAGCCCCGGGACACTGAAAGGCAGCAGGGCCCCTTGCAGGGCAAAGCAAAACTCAGCAAAAGCCCCAGGGCACTCTGGAGAGAAGCAAGGCCCCTTGAGGGAATGACAAAAGCCATCAGATAGGGTTAGGTGGTTGTGGTTAGGTGTAGGGTTAGGGATATGTTTGGAGTTGGGGTTTGGGGTTAGGTTTTGTTATATGGTTTGGGGTTGAGAGTTAGGGGTTAGGTTTAGGCCTTGGAATTTGGGTTTAGGGGCTGGGATTAACATCATGGTTAGAGTTTAGGGTTGGGGATTATGGTTAGGTTTTGGGATTAGGGTTTATAGTTAATGTCTTTATGATTAGGTTTCTGTCTTGGGTTTAAAGTCATATGATAAATGTTTGGGTTATGATGTAAATTTAGGGGTTATTTGTAATGTTATGTTTCATAGTTAGGAGATCAAGATTTGATTTAGGTGTTAAAATTAGCATTAAATTTTAGAGTTTGTTTTAGGGGTTAAATTTAGGATTAGGATTTAGTGCCTTACATCTTAGATTTAGGGTCATTGTTAGGGTTTATTGTTTGGGTTAGGGTCAAAATCAGCTTTTGGGTTGTGATTTAGAGGGTTTTTTTAAATGGATCGTAGAAATTAATAAGATTTGTAATGGACATGGTATCTGTATGTATAGATTATTTGCCCTTGTTCTACGTGCTGTTTTTAGAGGGCAGTGAGAGTTGGAAACCGGGTGAGTTGATGGATATAGCAACAGGTGTTTTGTCTATCACAAGAAGGATTTTGTCAGCAGAATTGGCCCAGGCACTACATAGACTGCAGCTAGAATACAAGATGGTTTAGTACAAGTGTGAGCTATCAGACTCCTTGAGAGAGATCTGAGAAGCCAGTCAGGCATGCAAGTGATACAAATCCAGGAGGAATTACTGCTACTTGGGAAGACAGGCTCATTGAGCAGGCATGTTTTCCTGACTAAATGAGAGAGCCATTGGTGTCACTCAAGAGATTCACGGAAAGCAGTTCATGCAGCCAGGAATAGATGCACAAGTAGAAGAGTGGCAGAGAAGTCAAGGAATGTATCAGAAGCTGCAAGATATGATGACTAACAGTAAAAGTCTGCTGCTCCTTCTAGGAGCAGCAGATGCCAGTCACACCAACCATTTGCTGGTAAGTGAATCCCAAATCATATCAGCCAGGCTTTACTCTGATGTCCTTAACATGTGTTAAACTACAGCATACAGCTATAGAGAAAAGAACTAACAAAAAAAAAAAAAAAAAAAAAAAAACCAAACAAAACAAAAACAAAAAAGGCAAAAATGCCTATACACTTGTTTTGAGAAGCACAACAGGGACAATGACCAGTTTGATAAAAAAGGAAGAGAGTCAGCGGTGTTTAATCCAGAAAAATAGGCAAAATGGGGTTGTCATAGCATTTTAAAGGTGGATAAAGGTATATTTTGCAGTTTGGGTAGTGAATCAGTAGCCATGAGGCATGGAACAAGCCCTGATCTAGTGCATTTTTCCTAGAGCTAGTTAAGAATAGATTATGTATTTTTAATATAGCTATGCTTTAGTATAGAAATTAAAGAGAAAAGAAAGAAATTAAATAAACCAAATTGTTAAGTGACTTAATAATCACCTTTAGTATTCCAGATGAGTTCACAGCTCTCTAACCTGAGTTGATACTACAAATTATCATTTTGTGCAAGAGAAGCAAAGTTGGTGGGCTGTGTGATGCCAGGACTCAAGGCTGATGATGTGTCTGTGTTTAAACACTGGGTTTCAAGTTGGAAGAAAGGAGCTGACAGAGCAGAAGACTTGGTGCTGTAATTCATCGCAGCATTTGAACTGAGTGGCAGCAGAGGGAACAGGGATGCAGCTCTAGCAGCTGGAGTGCAGAGAGGAGTGGCCTGGCCAGAAGAACAGGGTGTGCAAGTCTGGTTACAGGGTATACACCAAGAGATGGTAAGCATTGCCATTCATATAATATAGCTTAGAGCCCAGAGATGCAATGGCAAAGCCTAAGCCCCTGTCAGCGCTTTAGGTGTCTGCACTCAACATTTCTTAGAACTGAGAACTCTAAAACTGTTTTTGCCACAGTTTGCTTAAGAAAATACTTCTGTTCTGCTCTGAGCCAGCAAAAAGCAGCAAAATCCAGCTTCCCAGAGTACAGACAAAGAGAACAGAGCCCTTCTGACAAAGAAACAGAACTGGCATGCTGGCATTGAGGCAACGAGAAGGGAAACATTTGTGGTAATCTTTGGAGGTTTTTGATGTTCTCCTGTCAATAGAACAGCTGGAGATTGTTCACAGAGACTCTCATGTGAACAGAGTATATTGTAAAGTCATTAAAGGGGTAGCATAAATTTATCACAGAACCAGAAATTGGAGTGACTAGGGCCAAATAGCAGAACAAGAACAAAATCCCCACTCAGCACATCAGGACAAGCAAGAGGGTCCACTGAAAGGAGGGATATCTCAAGTTGAGGCACTCCCAGTGACAGCTTCCAGCACCCACTTGCCTTTTTCTCACTCCTCATTGAATGCCTCAGCCTAGAACTCAGCAAGGTTAGGGGCATGGGAGCCTCACCCTCATCTGTCTCTCATGGCAGCAAGTCTCCAGACATGGGGAATGCAGCCAGTCACTGACCAGGCTCTTCAGAGGCATGTAGAAAAGGCAGCTCCTCACTCAGTGCTTTAAATCTCAGGACACCTTCTTCCAAGTCGATGCAACACTAAAGAAGGAGAGAGACAGTTATTTGCTGGACATTTCAGGTAGCAAATCTCATGATATCTGTGACTGGGGAGAACCTGTAACACCTCTCTCGGTTTGTAGAGACCTTAGTTTTCTTTTCCTGTCCCACATGCAGCCTCCTTGCTCTAGTTCCCTGTAGTGGGGTTCATCTCCAAACCCTTCACACATTTCCCTCCCTTCTTCCAATGACCCTCTCTGAGTTGATGTCCTCACATCACTCAGCCATTCAACCCATTGTTTTTCCTGTTTGATGAGCCTGGCATGTGGCCACAAATGTGTGGCAGGCAGGAGCCAGCTTGCTGCAGCCATATCCTGAGCCACTCAGGAGCCAGGCTCAGCAGAGCGCTGATCCTGAGCCAAGCTGACAAAAGGACTCTTTCCACTCATGGCCAGCGAGTGTTGGACACTGAATGTGAGCACAGAGCTGCATTTGGCTTAAAGCAAGGGCACAGCTTGTTCTCATCTGCCTTCAAAGGGCAACATGGGTCTAACTCGTGTCTTTCCTTGTCTCCTCTTCAGTTTCCTCTTGCTGCTTGCAACTTGTACGGTCAGGAATACAGAGAATGGGAGATGTGATAGTATCCTACTGAGTGTTTTCTTTCTTGAAGCCTTTGAGAAGGACTGGAAAGGAATCAGTGACTCAGAACATACTGCACCCAGTCAGGCAGCTGTGCGACAAGCATTGCCCTCAGGGACCAGGACATTAAGTAATTCCGATGCTTACAACAACCAGATCTTGGAGAGCTTCCTGAGAGGAGCCCCGCAATAAGCAAGGAGCTGTTCCTTACCTTGAGAGACAACAGAGTCTGGAGGCCAATGCAAAACTCCAGCATTTCATCATCTGAGAAGAGAGAAGAGACTGATCAGGCTTTAGAATATGTAATATTGCCTCATTTAAAAAAAAAAAAATTGTGTCTCTCCTGTAAAAGGATATGAAATACAAGAACATCTGATTCATAATTTTTTATGAATCAATATAAAGCAGATAAAAAATAACAAGGAAAAGGATGAGTTAAACACACCAACATTAACAAGCAGATAGTAGCAGTGACAATAATAAATCTCTCTCTTCTGCCACTCGCTCATGAGCCTTTAAAGGAGCTATTTAGGCACAGTCCTGAAGATGTCAAAATGAACTTTGCAGCTGATAAGAGAAGGAAACCATGATTATTATGACTACTGTGAGATAAATTTGAGGTAGTTTATGTGATTGTTTGAAACTTAATATATCAGAAGGGGCTTGTGAGATCCCATGAAACTAGCTATGGGCGGTGTAAGGGAACGACAAAAGGCAGAAGGCAAGCAGCAGGGTGAATGAGGGGAGAACAAGCATGGGAAAAATGGAGAGGAGAGGGGCTAAGGGGACATGCAAGCAGACTATTGGTTCAGTTGTCTGACCAAAGCTTGCACCTAATGGCTGCAATCTAGCCAATCTTATGAAATAATTTTATTAAGGGTTTTTTTTTTTTTTTCCCATGTAACTTGTCTGTCCTACTCATAACTGCTGCAGGTCTTCAGTGTCAGCAAACATAGAAGATGCCAGGGGTTAAAGTGGTAGCTAAAGAGGAATTCCCAGGTCCTGGAGTCTGCAGGATCAGCAGCCACTTGTAATGTCATTAACACTTCTGCTTGCCCTGTAACCAGTGGCTGTAATTTATGATTTATTTATAACCACATAAGTGAGAGCACTGTGTGCACAGGGAGATGTAAGACACGGGTGTAGCAATTCTGCTCCTTCCAGGCAGCCATTTCCATGTTCCAACAACATGGAGAGTAGGTAGTAGCTGTGGGGTAAATTCACCTGTGCTGGTACTAATGCAGATTCCCCATGAAGGGCAAGAACAAGCAGAGTGGAAACCAGGAAAGAAGAGCAAGCTGGAGTGTGTAAGAGGAGGAAACTCTTTCTAGATAACTTAGAAATGTGGGAAGAATGTACATGAGTAGAGGGAGCAAGGGAGGCCTTGGAAGATGAGCAGGACTCATTGAAGATGAGGAACAAATTAAAGCAAGAAGGTAAAGCTGGAAGACTAATAGGGAGAAAGAAGGGGGAAAAAGACAACCATGTTGTTTTCAGCATATGCACAGCTTGATGTAAGTGCAGAACATGCAGCCTTTCTGCCATTTTCTGGGCCTGCCTTGTCTCCTATGGCCCCTTCCTTCAAAGGGTCCTGCTTCAGGACACTGAAGGAGACTCAACACTCTGGGGCTTCCAGGTTCTTTCAGGGTGCTCCCTGCAGCAGAGGCAAAGGAGCACACAGAGAAGTACTCTAGGAAATAAGCAGTACCCTCTGTTACTTTCTCTGATGACTTCCAGCCAGCGAGAGATACAAGTGCCCAGTCCATAGGAGAACATAAGGCACCAAAGGATTAGTCAAGCCATCTGCAGAATTTTATGAAAAGTCCATTTTAGAATTGAAATGAGAATTTTTCACATCCTTAGTTAAGACTGAAAAAGCACCTAATTTCTCCTCAGTTTCAATGTCTTCTGTCTTCTCTGTACTCTAACTCTGCCCTTTTCCTTCGGTTACATTGAGGGTATTCACCGTGTGTGTTGACCTGCAGTGGAGGTGGCCACATCACCAACCTTCCACCATGCTTTTTCCAAAGGTCCTTTAAATGCCCTTGTCAGGGCAAGAGGGACACAGGAGAAACAAGAGAGAGGAGGGGCTGGCACTCTCACCTACAACCAGTGCTGAACACATCACTGTCTCCTGGCCAAATTGCAATTCCAAATGTTCTACTCGGCCCACAACGCTGGGGATGGGAAGAGAGAGGTCTCCACAGTCCATGGCAGACACTTCTTCCAGCCTGTGGGACACAAGAGGTGTTATTGCCTCAAGAGGAGGAAGAGGAGGAAAACCAGGACTTCTCACTGTTGGCAGTTCTTCTGGGTCTTACTGAGAACAGGCCCACAAGAGGGGGAATCTCTTTCGTACCATATATCTGGAGGCAGATTCAACCAGCAAAACCGCAGCACCAGCCACCAGCTGGGCAGCTTTGCCTTGCACGTCATGCAGGCAGAATTGCACAGCACTGCCTCAGAGTCTGGGGTCTGCATACACTTTGCCAGTGCTCTAATGCCTTTCCCTGTAGCCCACCCTCTGCATCTTCCCCTCAATAGCCATGTGCACATGCAAAACTGCCAGTCATTATCACTGGGGCTGGGAATCCAGAGTGCCTGGGTTCTTGCCATGGTTTTTCCTTTAGCCATCCCTCCTTTTATACTGTGCAAAGACTTACCCCAGCTGGTTTAAACACCTCTTGGAGATGAGGTTTGGTAGACACCCAGTGTTAACAGTTGCTTTCAATGCCTGACCTTGGCACTAGAAAAAACAGCAGATAATTACTGTAGGCTCAAAATCAGCATATTCACCCCTCCAACTGTGTGACTTGGACTTTCTGAGCAACATAGCCAAGTTGTGGTGCTTTAGGCAGTAGTCAGAAGGCAGGAGTTTCATCCAAGACAATGGTGGTTTCCCCAGTTCTCTGCAAATCACTCTCAAACACTTATTTTTGAAATTGTCTTTCTTCATTTGTGTTTGATTGCCCAGACACTTATCTTAGTGACTTTAACTTAACAGAATTCCAGTCAAGAGATGCACAGTTAGAGAATTCGTTCATAAAACCAACATGGACTTTGTTAGCAGAGCAGTAATATGCAAAGTTTTCTAAAGGAATACAAGCATGTGCTAGTTTCTCTGGGTTTCATCTCTCCATTTCTTCTGGTGTTGCAGGGAACAATGTCTCAGAGCTAAACGTTTGTTCTCAGTAGAAAAGCTGCCAGAAGAAGTCTGAAGGAGAAGCAGGAGCACCCAGGACAAACACACCTGAAATGAGCTTGAATTTAAGGCAGTTCCCAAGATAACTGGCAAATCCATGTGACTCCTGAATCCAAGAAACAACCTGATCAAGATATTACTATTTTGTGTAGGGCTTACAACATATTCCTATATAGCTCTTTAAGGATATAAGACATGATGTTACAATAGTCACAGCTGGTGTCATTTAGCAAAGGGGGAGAGTGTGCCCTGCACCCAAGTAACCTGTGCATGATTTTACTGGAATAGTTCCCAGTGCTTTCCTCATTTCATTTCTTTACCCCTTTGAACATGAAAGGGAAAAGAAGATGTGGTTCCTGTCTGGTTTCTGTCCCCTCTTTAGAGAGGTCCTTAATGGCAGGCCTGAGGTGATGAAGTAACAGCAGGTTACATTTATTTTAGGGGCCTGAAAACATAAGGTCATCAAGGACATCAATAAGAATTAGGTTGAGGAAAAAAAAAAGAGGAACAGGACTTAGTAAAGGAACTGGAAAAGATGGGGTAACTGTCATCTGCAAAATACATCTTCACCTATGGTACCTAATAATACCTATTATTGATGGCTAGCTCTTCAAGGCTCTGTCTTACACCACCGCCCAAAAAAAACCCCATCAATAAAACCCCACTCACATAATTTTCCTTTTGGGAGGCACATTGTATTCCTACTATAATTTGTGTTTTTCCTGTGATTCCTTCTCTTCCATCCACTATGGCACTCTGTGAGATGAACCGCTCAGAAGCAGCAACATACCTGACACTTCTTCTTTACTCTTATGCTCAGTCCCAACAAGTTTAAATGCTTGAACACCTTAAGCAGATCAGCATGGCTATGAGGGACTCAGTGCAGCACCAGCAGGATCAAGGAAAATGTCTCAATTTCTTGATTTCTTATCTAAGCCTGTGTATGATTATTTATCATCACCGAGAGCTACATCCAGTATTTCCAAGATTTCATTTTCAAAAATGTGCTGTGAGCAGTTAGAAAGAAGAAAACAACTCCTGTGAGAAATACTGGAGTGCAATTGCTAAGGAATCACTTGGGAGCAGCAGTGTTGAAATGCATGAGCTGCTGTTGTTATAATAAGCCTAAGCTGTATCACTAGGCAGATTACTGAGTTTTGTTTCAGAGCAGGCTGGGAAATCTGCAAGTTAGAGTCTTTATAGGATATAACAGGACAGTGATTATTCTGTAGAAAACAATATTTAGTCTCATTGAGTGTACACAGCTCTTCACCACTAACCATTTCCCTAGAGAACTCACCAGGAGCCTGAGGGAAGTCCTTGGCCCAGTGTACCAAAAATACAATGCAGGCAGCTCATAAGCACTGCAAGGCTTCTTGAACTAGGAGGACTTTTCATCACTTTACCCACTCTCACCTCTACTCCAGAATTTTCAGTCTGTTACTACCAGTCACATTTATTTTTTATCTAAATGTCAACTATGGGAATTTCCAAGAAAAAGGGGAAGGGGAGTCAGTAAGGATCACTATAAAGAGCTGGGTTTTCTGAAATAATGTCAGTCCCAAAGTCAAGAAGCTGCTTTAGCAAACAAAAGGCTGATCAATCCCAGGTTGCTTTGGCATAGAGGAAAACTGGCCTTCTACAGCAGTGAAGTTTTTCAGCATCTATTCCCAAATCAACAAGAGACAAGCCCCACCACAAAAAATAACAGCTTGATTTTATGTTGCAGATGCCAGTTGTGACTAGTTTTCCAAAGTGCTTTTCAAAAACTGTCACAAAAAGGGGCAATTCTGCTAAAGTACCATCTGGGCAACCCACCTAAGCAAATAGAAGGGTGAGTGACTGCAGTACAATTATAGACTAGGTCTATCTGCGATCTCTGGGACTTAAAAGGCCTTAGACATAGGGCAACTAAAACCTGTTAGAGTGAAACCACTTACTGCCTGAATCTCCATGTACCACTGAAGTCTACATATATGTGAGTTTATTCCTTAGTCAAATTCAGTTACAAGTCAGGTGATGCATTTGTTACCACTTTGGGATTTTCAGCATACTTCCCTTTGTGTAAATGGTATATTAGCTTTTCTCAGGAGTCAGGGAAAAAAAAGACTTCTCTGGGGCTGTGCTCCATTTCTAATAAAAACTGCACTATAATCAAGCAGTTCTCCAAAAGGTACCAGCTCACCTCTCTGGCTCAAATAAACTGGCAGCCTGAGTCCTATTTCCTGCCACAGCTCTGTTACTGACAGGAGAGGCTTTTTGAAGTTCACAAATATGAACATCAAAAGCAGCAAGACAAAAAGAAGGGGAGGAGAGCTTCCCTTCCTTCAGTGTAAGATCAAGTGTGACAAACAGTGACTGGCTCCTAAGAAGGGCAGAAAAAGACAGAAAGGCCTGTGCAGAATTCAGGGAGAGTTACATGCAGTGTTAGATCTGTTTACTTGCTTGTGATGCTCATTAACCTTCCTCTGTGAGGGTAAGTAAAATGTGGGTGACAGCTGGGGTTCAGTGCACTAGAAACACAAAAGGGAATGACTGATGGACTGTAATGCTGACTTAGCTACTACCCCTGGGATACAACACCTGTACATGCCTGTCCTTGTTCAATGTGCATGCCTGGCAAAACCCCCACCGTTTATCACTAAATTTCCTCCTGCAGAACAATAAGGAGAGGCTATTAAAGAAAAAGAACCACCTTTATTTGCTCAAAAATAGGCTCCAAGTAATTGGAGAAATTACCCTGAGAGCCAGTCAACCTACTAGCCTGTCCCCAGGTGTGGTTATGTTAACCCAGACATATTAAAGTCTAAAATGCAGGGTAAGCAATGCCTAACTGCAGCAGTGAAGGCTGCAAAACAAACCAGACAGTGGCTTTGCTTGGTACTGATATACCTGATCTAAGCCTTTCATAAAATTAGTACCAGGCTGTGTTCCTATCGTAACTTATCGTGCTAAATGAATTTTCAAAGGTATATATGTTTTACTTGGAAGTATAACCTTTACACTCGGATATGGGAGACGGTCTTTAGGATAGTTAACTGAGCTGAAACCAGCTTTAAAATGGGTTTTGTACAACAAGTCTTCATGAGTATCTTCATGAATCTCATATCTGTATGTTACAGTGCAGCTCTAACCATCCAGCTCTCGTCCATGGGCCACAGTTTTTGGATGCACCTCCTCTAACTGCAGGGGCCAAGGAGTAGTGTGCTCTGCTGTACAGGAGGATATAAAAAGAAAAGGAAACTAAAAATACTGCTTCCATCAAGAGGTGCAGCTGAGCTAATTTGGAGCACAGTTAGCCACTTTCTGAGGAGCTCCTTTGACACCTGAGAGAATCAGATTGAACTGGAATTAGTTAAATGTAAATCAGCTAGAGGCACCTGTCTTCAAGTGATAAGGAGACATTCCTTGCTTCTACATACAGTTATAAAATACCTCATATCATGGGAAAGGTGGCCTTCAAAGGAAGGAGATGTGATTAAGGTAATTTATGTTCAAATATGAGCAACTAGAAGGCATGTAGCAGAAAGGCTTTCCTCTGGCTACATCCAGAGCTGCATCCAGACTCTAGGAGAGGCCATGCATGAAATCTCATTTTTTTGGCTGCAGCTGGCTTTGCAATTCATAACTCAGCATGGCCCTTGGGAGGGGGACAGCTGGAACTCTGAGCATTTACCATCACTTTGAAATCAGCAGCGCTGTGTTGTTGCCTTACCTGGCACTGTATTATCAGGGGTGAAGTCTCTTTTCTTCTGTCCTCTCCCTTTTCCATCTTTTCATCCTGGTCTTTTGCCAGTGGAGATTGAACCCGTGCAGACTGGCCCCTGGCCTCGCCCCGCAGCTTGTTCAGGTTGCCTTCCAAGAGGCGCCGCTGGACCACACTATGAGGCTGCTGTCTCCATCACAAAGAAAGAGAAATCCCAGCTAAGTATGGGGCTAAGGACAAGGATATTTGCTAGCTCAGGGATGTAAGTTGGAAATGCCTGACCCAACTGATTGTCCTGATGAAAGACATGCTTATCAAAAAAAAATTTCTTTAAATCCCAAGATTTTTTTTTTGGTAGCTGCTGATTTGTTGTTAAAGTGTTGGGATGTCTGTGACAGGCAGGTCTCTGGGAGGAGAATTATTGGAGGAGAAGAACACACCTGATGCATGCTCTCCCCACAGATATCTGTTCCTTCAGCTAAACATGCACTGGAGAGTCTCATTCCTGTTCAGCCTAATGCAGTGCACTGCCTGCTGGGTGTGTGCTGACATCCCACCAGGCACACTCACACCTTCCAATGTGGGAGGGCACGAGGAGAGGAACGTAGCGTGTGTGTGATGTACTTGTGGGCAAGAAGGCAGGACTGCAGATATTTTAGGTGTACAAGCAATTATTTGTAGTGAAGCAGAAAACTCCTCAAGGAGGAAACTAAAATGAGCTTCTAATGTTCCTTGGAGTCTGTCTCCGCTCCCCACCATCAGATGCTCTAGATTTTGCCCAGTATTGATCCATCCAGTCCCTGCACAACTACTGAATCAACAGTGGCAACACGAATGAAACAGGTGCCTGTTGGAGGTAGCTTTGTCTTTTCTCCATGTACTCAGCTCCACTGCCCTTCTGCAGGAGAGCAGCTGCTCTCAGCTGGCCATGGCATTCCCAGTAACAAAAGTCTGTTTGAAGAAAGGCAAACAATCTAAAGGGGTCAATGTGCTACAGCTTAAAATGTTGTTTTTCTCTTTCTAAAGAAAAAAAAGTTATTATCTCCCAGGTGGTGCAGCAGTTTGATGCAGGATCTTGTCAATGGGCAGGCCAAACACCTAAACTAGACCAGACCTGCCAATGAGCTGGGCTGCATTAGCCCCACAGGTTACGTGTGTTTCAGACTAGCCTCATGCATGGCCAGAGAGCTGAGGCCAGAGAAGTGTGCAAGCTGCAATTTGAAGCACCCTGATTTGTCAGATTTGACCAATGGTTGGTGCAGGATGGCTGTCACTGGCTCCTTGGTCACACTCAGCATTGCTCTTTGCAAGATGCCACGTCCCTCATACCTCTGCTTCCTTGCCACTCAAGGGGTGAGAGTCAGATCATTCACATGCTGCATGAGAAACATTGCAGCAGTTGAAACAATGGGGTAAAAATATCCCTCTGTTCCTGGTCTTTTCCCAGCCTACTGTGCCGGCCCACAGCACAGCTGGCCCTTGTGCTTAGCTCCCTAAATACTCTGAGCACAGTGCCAGTTTGGCTGCCAGCTAACATCTGGGCCATGGGAAAAGGGCAGGGAACAAACAGCAGGTCTCCAAATTCCCATCCTCCCTCCCGCCTCTCACAATCTGGCATGCAAAGGACCTTTCCCCCTTCCTGCAACATTTCCCACAGAACCAGCAAGCTCTTTGCAGCTGCCACCTCTGTCCCCTTCTTGTCACTCAGCCTGGGAAGAGGCCAAGTGCTGGTTGGGATTAGCTGAGCTTTGGGATTTTGGAGGCATCTGATTCAAGAGCAGACTCCCAGGGCCCTGCCTATCTTCTCTTTCACCAGTGAGACATGGAGAGAGCGTTGTAGCTCTTGGACTGGTCAGAAACAATTAGATTTAGAAGATGGTAAGGGAGGATGTTGGAGTGTTGTGGCCAGGAGCTGGAAAGGATGGCCTCTCAGGGCACTTAGAAGGATCAAAGAAGATTCCCAGTGCAATTTAGGGAAGGTTCTGGTTCTCCAATGTGAAACCTCCAGGCCTTGCTGTGATTAGTGACATTGTATGAGCTGGGGATCTTGATTTTTGGGAGATGAGAAACCAGGTCTTCAGACCTTCTTGGTACTTGCAGAATATTTTAGTTCATGTAGCTACTTTTTTTTTTTTTTTTTCCCATTTAAAAAAACCCAAAACTGATCATGCTTTTTGTTGCAAAGGTGGAAACATGAGATCTCCACAGAAATATATAATTACTCATTATTAGAGACATGATGGGCCCATCAAATTGCAGGCATTTCTGGATGCATTGTGTAAGCTGAGTGCACACCCAGAATACACAGAAAAGAATGGCAAAAAGTAACAGCCTGTGGCTGCAAAAGAAAGAAGATATTTTATTTTAAATTATATGAGGCCTTGCTCTAATTTTATGCCATGGAGCTGCCACAGCTGGAGTCTCTGGCATTGTCAATGGAGACCTGTTTTGGGGAATTAATTAAACTTTCCTCCCAATGTAAATGCTATAGGAGTCAGGGGTGTTTTACTCTCTCTCTCCAAATCAAACTTTCCAGCACATCCTACTCCTGCTTCATTTTCAGTACATTCCTTTTTTGTATTCCTATCCTCCAGGAGGGAGCCAGCTCAATTTAGGAAAAAGAGATGGGGTTTTCATAGTGCTGGAGAAATGTCTAGAAAAACAAACCAAAAGCATATCTGGGACTCTGATTTGCAGTGCCCAAAGATCACAGCAATATCACAGTGTCCCATTGAGTTACAGGAACTGCTGAATCCCACTTGGAAATCTAAGACCTGGTTCTTCTTTTGCTCCAAGTTAAAGCACAAAAGGAGGTACCACATTGACCCCAGATATGGCACTGTGCGTTGAACTTGGCACAGTGGCCACACTTTATTTTGTGCCCTCTAACACCAAAGCAAAATGTCCATGTGAGAAAAACACCTCATGCTTTATTCACTGCTCTCTAGGTCCATGGTAAAAAAGTTTCAGCTGTTCTGTTATGGATCAAACAAGAAGTTTGCAGTGGGCTGCAGTGACCAAACACTGTCAGCACACGAGTTCTCCTGCCTGGAATGGTTAATTCCAGCAGGAGAGCTCCTCATGGCAAGTGATTTAGACAAGGACTGTCTCACTCAAGGAACCCCTTAGGGCTTCAGGCTGCCAGTTGTCGCTTTGAGGCATGGTGTGACAGGAGTCAGTCCCAAAGCAAAGCTGGCAGATGTGTTTCTGCCTGCCTTTGTGGCTGGGGTCAGCAAACACGCACTAGAAGCCTCCGGAGTGGCTCATCCCCATTCCCTGCCCAGGGACGGGCCCAGGCTCACTCCCGGCTGTGCTCCAGAGGGGATGTTGGAGCTGCAATGCTGCAGGCCCCGAGGGCCAGCATTGGCTCTCTGGGCTCCAGGAGATTCAGAGCTCCTTCCCCACGGGGAGGAGAGTCCCTGCTCCTCTCTAAGACAGCACCGATGTGACATGGCTCTCGCCCTCCAGCCACGACTGCACACAGGGCCGGAGGGACAGTCCACACCGAGCCCTGCTGACAGCCATGAGTGCGGCTGCAGAACATGAGGTGACAGCACAGGGGAACATGGAGGAGCCACCCTTGACCCTGCCATGCCAGGCACTCCCAGCAGCTGCTGAGGGAGCTGCAGGGAGGGTGGTGGGAGCACGAGAACATGGCACTGACCCCTCGTCTGCAAGCCGCTGCACCCCAAGGTTTCAGCAAGGAGGATTAGTCCCCACTCAGTGCCAGGCACTTTCTGGTCCCACACATGTGTGGCCCTGTACCACTGCCTCAGGAGCTGGGAAATGACTGGAGGCACACATATGAGAGCATCTGTGGTGTGGCTGCGATTGTCTGAGGATACAGAGGAAAGCACAGACTGCAGGGAGAGACAAGATCTTTTATGACGCCCACTGCCACAGATGGAATAAGTGCCCCCATCACAACCAGACGTGAGCCCTCTTTTGGGAAAATGGTTTAGACTTCCACATCCTTGAGCAGTTTAACTCTACAGTGGAGAGAAGTTGGACAGCAAAACAGAGCAAGGAGAATATGTGTGAAGTTGAGCCAGTAACAGATCCTCTGGGAATCTGCTTTCAGCCTCGGGGAAACCCTTCCAGACTGCCAAGGCTGCTGGAACAGACCTCCCTCCCTGATGCTCCCTGATCCACGTCACCACAAGGAGATGCCCACAGGCCTCACTCCGGTGCCTCCTCCCCAAAGGAGTCATCCAGAGTGCCAGGTACTGCATCTGCCTGCCTGCCTGGTTTGCAGTCCTGCCTTTGCTTGCCCCTCCATAAATCCAGAGAGTGGGGGGAAGAGAGAAAAATGCAAAAAAGTGACAAGGTCAAACATAAGTTTCTCAGAATTTCGTGAATTGTACTTCCCTCCCTGCTGAGTCCAGAAAAGATTCTGTTTTTGAACTGGATCATGCAGGAATACATAGGGGCTTTCAGAGATGTCCCACATGGAAATATACGTGTCACATGAACATGCATAGGTATTGGGTGACTGGAAATTTGGATTCTGGAGAGTCCTGCCAGTCTATGTCTGCCTGAGGAGTTTGGTTCCTATGGGGAGGCACAAGAAGATGGACACAAGCAAATGGGTGATTAATTCTTTCCCCTCACCCTGACCTGCTCCTAGATGATCCTGAAGGGAAGTTTCATTTTTGCCGAACCTATGATCCTTTCACAAAGCCTGACAGCAGCTCCCAACTGGAATGAAGGCTATTAGGAGGACCCCCTCCCAAACGTGGTCCCCGTGGACTCACCAGATCCTTGGAGGTGCCAAGTCTTGTCAAGCCATCCAGGGGCAGCAGATCAGCAGAGTCCTTGTGCACAAACTGGGTGGCCTGTTTGAGGCGCCTCTTCTGTTGCAGAATAGCTTTGTTCCTCAGCTCCATCTCACACTCCTCTCGCTCCAGCTCGGGAATACCCTCACTCTGCTTCTCCTCCAGGTCTCCTTGCCACAGTGGCAGGGGGCAGCTCTTCCTTGTGCTCATGGTGAAGATTCAGACAGAACAGGTCCTTCTTGGTGTGCTGGGGTATTCCCTGAACTCGTCTGCTGGTGTTTGCCCTCTGGAAGCTGACTCAGTCTCTGATCTCCTTTCCCTTTCTCTTCCTCACGGCTCGCCTTCTCTTCCTTTCTCTGCCTTTCCTCCTGCTCTCTTAGTTATAACTCACCCATCTCTGAAGTGTCTCGGTGCCTGTTTCTCCCTCTGTCCTCTCCACTCCTCCGTATCCCTCTGCCCCCGCCTCTTCCCCTCCCTCACTTCTCTTGCCCTGACCGCAGCTTTGCCTCCTCCAGTCCGTGGGTCCGTGTCGTAATAGAAAAAGCCGCGCGTCAGAAACCGCTTTCCATAAATCACGGCAGAGCCGGCAGGATGCTCCGGCTGGAAAAATCCAGCAGCAGAAGGATGGCCCCGCTGGATGCTGGGGGCCGGACTTACCTCGGCGGGCTGCGCGCACGCACCGCGCGTGTCCGTGTCCGTGTCCGTGTCCCTGTCCCTGTCCGTGTCCGTGCCCGTGTGTGTGCCCGCCTGTCCCCGGCTCCTGGGGACACGCTACAGCTGCCGGCGGCAGCCTGCGCGCTCCGCTGCCTCTGCCAGGGGGCTGTGACGCTTCTCGGTGTCTCTGTAAACACTGGCAGCAACTCGGGTCAGCCTGGAAGATGATGCAGTGCCTCGGTAAATGGGAGAGTATCCTCCTCAAGGCTCCTGGCAGGCATGCCCAGTCCCATTTCTGCAGAGAGTGTCATGCCTTTGCAATAGGCTGCGCTGAAGGATGTTTCTGTGTAGCTTGAATGAAATGCTGAAGGTCTGGTTTCTGCTTCCAGCCAAGGCAAATGTGTTGTGCCCGACTCTGTCCTCCTTCTCATTCCATTCTATCGAAAGCAAGCCTAAAATCACTGGCTCGTTGATACCAGCAGACTTGGCTCCCTGTTTATACCAAAAGAATGCTGGTGCTGCTGCAGTGTGGGGTGTCTGGACCTGAGCAGACATCCTTTCTCTCAGGGGAGACAGGACATGGTAGAGCTCCCTTTTTCAGCTTTCTGTCTCCATATTGGCCTGCTTGAAACTATGAATTTTAACTTGAACTGATGCTGTCTCATTTTGATCCCTTTTCTCTGGGTAATGCACTGCCCCATTAAGCACCAGGTGTGATATCAGGTACGGGGAGGAACCAAAACTTTACTCAGCTGTGAAACTAAGGACAGCATTACATTTCCAGGAAAGCCAGCAAGCAGTGAAACAGCTTTCCTGTGCAACACAGAAGGAATAGCAGCAATGGACTAAAAAAGTTACAGTAAAAGGACACTTTCTGTTGCTCCTTTTGTTTTGTTTTCTGTCTTAGTAGTATGTAACATTCCAGTATTACTGATACCAATTATTTTCATGTTCTAGATTGTGTATAAAAAAGTGAATATTGAATACTAAGAAGCAAATCCAATACCGCCAAATCACAGCACTAGATTTTTCAGGATTGGGAGTGGAAATACATTCTAATTGCCTTATACTCCAAGGCCAAACTTCAATACCATAATGCAAGCACAGTCCCAACAACAACTCAGAGGTGTTTTGAGCTGTCCTTATCTATCTGTGAGTCAAATTAAGAAAAGAATTTAAGTAATGGATATTTACAGGGAACCTGTGTTCCTACTGTCTTGTTTTCTTACCTGTGGGTTGCTCTGATTCCTGATTTACACTCTTTTGACCTCCTGTGGCCACAATAAGTATCCTCTGAGTCTTGCCATCAGGTCCTTTAACCATCCATGTAAACTAGTACTGAATCATGCACCTTTACTCTCACACAGGGCCAAGAGGTGCTTCCCCTCCTGCTGACCGTGAATACCTGAGCAGGCCAGCCACAACAAGGCAGATGATGGTAGCAAGGGCACTGCCAGTTTTCTTAAAGCCTCAGAATGGACCCTGAGACTGTAAAGTGCTACAGAACATCTTAGAACCAGGTCACCTACAGTCCCTGCCTTGAAGTCTATGGGCAGAAATACACAATTTCTGATGAGATCACCTCCCACCCTGGATCTGTATGTGGGAATGAAGCGGGAGCTCTCCTAGTTCCCAGTCCCAGCACCTCTTTGCAGCTAGTCACCCTTTATTAGTTTATTTTGCCAGGCATTTTGGCAAATCCTAATCAAAATTGGTTTGTCTTGCAGCTGGGCTGGAGCCGTTGCTTGAGCAGTTCTTCTTTTGGCTCTCACCAGTTAGTCCTGGTCCCTAATTCATCAAGTATTTCTCTCTTTGTACCTCAAAGGGGAGGAATCTTCAAGTCTTGTTTAAAGCTTTCTCTCCTCCTTCATCACTTTTGCTTCTAGATGTAGGTCACTTAACTCTTTATGTGCTGTGATGTGTTAGTTCCTAGATCTGACAAAAACCCCCAGCATTTTTATGGAGGTGAAGTCAGCTAAGGTACTATCTTCTCCCATCAGAGACATTCTAGGTTCTAGGTCACTGGTTTTTTTTTCTATTCAGCTATTACTTTTTCCACCCTGTTCTTAAACAGAGCCCATTTACTAGGTAGGTTAGGTGATTTCTGGTTTGGGGTTATTTTAGCCCCAAAGCTAGCCTAATAATTCTTCTTTAAAATATTATCCTGCTACTTTTGCGACTTCTAATGGTGGTTTCTCTTTCTTAGAGATTTCTTTTCAGCTTTGTATTTTTCTCTTTTAACAGTTTGGAAACTATTATTTTGTCCTCCTGAGATTTTACACAGTGCAGGTGGGAGGGTAGATTGTAGATGGAGAGCTTTACATTCCTGTTGTGACAAGCTGGGTTCTTACAGAGCTCAGCAGTAACCCCCACATAACATAACCAGCACAGAGGTTGTTTTTACAGTACAGCAGTTTCCAGTGCACCATCTCAGTAGTAGTGTAAGCTTCAAGTGGGTGTCAAAGTGACCCTGGGTGTAGCAACTATGTCAAAGCCAGGAGATTCCTTGTGGTGGATACTGCAGGATAACAATGAGGCAACTTTCTGCTCATTCTCCTGCATTCTCACAGCCTGCGCAGTCTGTGGATGCACAGATGGTGCAGAGGAGGAATGAGAGGACAAACCTTACTCAGGCAAACCATGCATGCTTCTCTTTCCTTTCCATCTCTGAAAAAGATTCTTTGAAAAAGAAAAGGTTCCTCTGCTTTGAATTCCCTCCAGTTTGTCTATTTGTATAATAAAATACCTTTGTATTCTTGAAATAATAAGTAAAAGGTTGCAGTATTTATATCTGTGAGTATGTCTGGCAAGTTTCCTTGAGATAAATGTCATCTCAGATGTACATAATGTTTAGCTCGGCTGCTGGACAGCAAAGTGTGTCCTGCCAGCAAGGTCAGTCAGAAGTAGAATAGTTTGCTTAGTTAGGTAATTTAGGGTCAAGTCTCTGTAATTATCTGCCCTATGGGATAGATTTATTAGTGCACTGTTACAAACTTGGAACAGTGTTGTCTAATGTGAAATTCTTCTGCTGTATAAATATTTCTTGATCATTATAATTATTAATATAATATAATTATAAATATAAATATTTTTGTCCTCTCTGTATTTCTTTTCTTCTTGGGGCTAAACTGCATTAAAAAGGGGCCTTTTCTGTTTGGTTGGAATAGTTATTGTTGCCACAGAACAGTTGCTGATCATGCAGCAGGCAATACAAAATTTCCCCTTCCATTACACAAATCACACTAGAAGACTTTGCCTTTATTCTAAGGAGGGGAATGCACTGGTGTGCATCTCCACTGATGCACATAGCAATGGCAAATTTCTTACATATGCTAGAGCTTCTCTGTGGTCAGCATGAGGTTTAAAGTAGAGAATAATTCCTGGTAGGAATTTGTTTACCTATAAAAGTGTGCAAGAGCCTGAGATGAAGGATAGTTATGCGTTTAAGGTCGATAGCACAGAACTTGGAAATGTGTAGTCTCAAAGATGTCTCTCGTCTGTGTGTCTCTCTGTAGTCGTTTCATTTCGCTGTCCCTCCACTTCCCACCTGTAGGGAGAACATTTCCATTATTTACTTAGCTTGAGGCTAAGAATGCACTTGACACTAACACAAGCAATTTTTTCTAAGTCTCTACATAATGCCATAAAAATAATAATGAAAACTTTACACCGTTAAGGCTCCTTTCAGAGGATGTCCCTAGAGCTGAATACTTGAACAGTAAAAGCCAGCACAGTTAGAGTTGCCTGGTAAAGCTTAATTTGGTATGCATATGTGTGGGCTTATTACTAAAGCCACCTACAGAGTCTTGGCAAGGTGCTTTGAGTGGCTGTTTATGGGCTTCTATAACAACTTTTTCTTTTCCATGTGAAACAGCAAGAGGAAAGAAAAAAGACAATCACCTATTCACTTTTTTACCTGTTCCTGGCTAACTGTAGAATCAGAGCAGATCTCATTTTGCTTAAAATGAAGCCCAGATATAGTCCTTGGAAGGTAAGAATCTCTCTGATGGCTGATTTTTCCTGCAGTGTCATTTCATTTGGGGACAGGTTTTACTTTCAGAGTCCCCCATCAGGGAAAACCTCCCTGTCAGCAGTTGCTAGGTGTACTGTAATGTTTCCTGTTTTGTTTGTAAACAGCTTCTTTTGCACCTTAAAGCAGTTGAGATCAGTCAAGTTCTTCATCAGTCAGCAGCATAACTTGCTGAAATTAACTTAACCAGTGGGGGAGTCAGCCACTCCAAAGGGTGTTGCAGCCCACCTCCTGTTCTGTTGTTCAGGCAGACTTTTATTTAGAAATGCAGTAATTCAAGCATCAGTATTCACAAAGTAATTCCTTAAAGTCATGCTCCTGTTGTGGATGGCTTTTCAGGGACAATACCTCGGTCATGCTCAGTGAATTGGCACCTTTTCCACAGTGTATTCTCTCCTTGCTGCTACAATAGGCACCATGCCCACACCTTGTAAAAGAGTTAAACTCAAGAGCAGAAATAAGTATTTTGTATCTCTAATGCTTTTCTGTGCTACCTGATCATTTTGCCCCAGTCTTAAACCTGAGGACTGTTGAATCTGTGGTCCTTATCCAACCTTTGACTCCTTTATGCTCTCAAGCAACCTCAAGTTGTGCCAGTGGAAGTTTGAAATTAATATTAGGAAAAATTTGTTCATTGAAAGGTTTATCAAGCATTGGAGAAAGGCTTCCTGTGGAAGTGGCTGAGCCACCATCCCTGGAGGTATTTGAAATGTATAGATTGTGACACTTAGGGACATGGTTTAGTTGTGGGCTTGGCTGTGTCAGGTAAATGGTTGTGCTTGATGATCTTAAAGGTATTTTCCAACCTAGATGATTCCATGATTTTTTTCTTCTGAACTCTGTCTCCATTTGACTCTTTGAAACATCTTCATCTTACCAAGAACTTTCTTTGTGTCACCCACTCCCTATGGCCAGCAGAAGTCCCTTGGACACAAGAGAGCTCATGTTGCCATGCTCAGCTGCTGGAAGTCACAAAGAACAAGTTCAGGAAGAAATCTCCATGCACTCCAGCAAGTCTGTGCTGGGGCACACACTGTACTGAGTAAGTCTCAGATTTTAGTTGCCAGCTGACTCTGCTAAGGATGTGAAATATATTTTTTTAAAGAATGTTTGTAACAGCCAAAAACTGGAAAATTTTCACTCAGCTTATAAAAAGGGAAACACCAAAGCCAAGAAGGACAACCTGAAAAAAATCCTTACAAAGCAAGGAGATACTAGGTCTTTTCAAGAAAAGGTTTGCTAGAAAAGATTTTTTTAATCTGAGCAAAATATTCTTGTGCTCCCATTTTTAGAAGCAATTGGGCTGCTTGAACTGCATTCCTTGTGCTCCCTGCTCCTTCTCTTCCCAGAATAACTCTACCCAAGGCTGATATTCAGAATGGCTATTACCAGGCTATATATCTTGAATTTTCAGGATTTTATGATGGAATCACCAGCACAGTGCAGAAGCACCTTTGTGTACACAATGCACATACAGTGGCAAAGGGATATGTTAACACCCCAGGGATTTGATGGACAACAATGCTGCTGTGACAATGTAATTTTATTTTTGATTTTAAGTACTGGACTCCTTTTGTCTCCTAGTCTTTGGGCTGCATTTGTTATGTACATCAGCTGTTTGTTACATTCTTGATGGCTAGGCCTTGGCATGATTTAAATGGCAACTGAGATTATCTCATGGTCTCCTGACTTCAAGATTTTAATAAAAACAGGAAATAAATAAAACCTGAGAGTCAGCCATGGGAAAAAGCAAAACAGCTCTTATCACTGTAGCATGCCAGTCCCTTGGGTATGCATAGCAAAGTGCAGATTGTCAGGAACTAATTAGCCACAGCGTGTAGCTCCTCAGATCAGACCATTCTGTGTCATTGACACCATTACTTGCAAATACTTGGAGGACCATATTGATGCTGAAGGCATCTTCAGTGATCCCACAAGTTCCAAGGGATGTGCTTTATGGTGTCAGTTCTGCTGCATTCCTGACCTTTCACAGTTCCAGAATGCAAAATAGCCTTGTGCATAGACAAACATGCAATCTCAGGATTCAGAGTAAAAAAAACCCAAAACATGTAAGTAATCTAAGCATGTTACTTCATAAGAAAAGTATAAAGTTGAGATAGAATAGTCTGGCCTGTTGCATAATGATATTATCCAAAACTTTGTCTTTATTGAAATTTACAGAAAAATACATCAAATGTGAAGGAACACAATGCACCAAGATACCATACTGGTAGTGAAAAACAGTATTTTATAAAAAATATAAACAATATTGATTCTCAAGTCCAGTGAAGATGAGTTTTTTTTGTCCTGTTGGAAAATTTTTCCATCCATTAAACAGTCAGGGTTCTAATTAGCCAATTTCTTGTTTGCAACCACAGATTAGTACAGACAACCTACCTTCTACAAATAACACAGCTAAATAAAGAGAGGCCCTGTTGGCAGCAACCTTTTTTACATCCATGAGAAGGTAATAGAGACCAACAGCAGGTACTGGAGCATAAATCCACATCTGACTGTAGTTCAGTAATAATTAGTGCGGGCTATTTTCTTTATTAAATAACATCATTAGATGTTTCTCATTTTAAATTTGGTGCATAAAAAAAAAAAGCAGATGTGGAGAATAAATAATTCTGATTATATATTTGTATGCAAACAGTTCATCAGTGTGCTCTATATAATGACTTCCCACAGATTTTGAGATGTGGAAGAGAACCTGCTTTGTATAATCTTTTGTCTGTAAACTGTAACTGGGTATTTATTATACTTATTTTTCCAATAAATGTTGTAACTGAAATGCAAGGACAAATGTGTCATTTGACTTGCATCAGCAGTTGAGGTTCAGGGTCTTGATGTTCTAAAACTGCTTGTTTCAAAGCAAGAAACCAGTCTGAGATGAGTAGTGAAGCAGGACATTTTCTCCTTAATCTCAGGCAGCTAATACTTTGTTTTGCCCTAAAGATATTTTTATCCAGTTGTAGCTCACCTCTTTTGGAAAAAGGGGAGTGGGGAGAAAAACAATTTCTGTTCAGGAAGCTCATCAAACCATTTTTCAAGCCTGTCATTTCTCTTAGCCTATTGTACATTTTAAAGAGGAAGTCCGTACTTTACTAAAAAAGAAATTTTCACCTTTGTTAAGAGCTAGACTGCCTTCTGGGAGAAATGAAGGCCTGACATCCTCATGAAAAGGTTTCTGCCATGTAAAACCGGGTCTCTTTTCTTCCATATGGGAAGTAATCAAGTTTTTCCTCTACCAGCCAAGTTGCAAAAGTAGAAGGGCGGCAATCATCCTTGCTTACCTCATCTCAATGAGCATGCAGTCCTTTTCAGCGGACAAAACATAGTGGGAGGAACCCCACTCAACCAGTGAAAGGGAATTACCTTCTCTTTTGTGTCACACCCCAGGTATTGAGTGGAGTTGTCAGAGGAGCAGAGCATCCACAGCACTTGCTGGCTCCCTGTAGATTTGCATGTCCCAGATCCCTTAATATTTTTATCTTAAATTAATGTTTGCTTTTACAGGCTAGAAGGTGTTAAACAGCTTTGTCTATTATCAGAATGCAAGGACAGTCCTGGGGTGCTCCTACACATTACTCAGAGAAGCCCTGGGAGTGCTGTGCAAAGGGTGTGAAGAGATGTGCCTTCCTGCTCTTAGGCTGATGAAAAGACATGAAGTATGACCCTGCTCTTACTGCAGGAGGGTGGACAGAGGCATCCACTGCCTGACAAGATCACACCTCTACACTATAACCCTAATACTGAGCCTGCAGAGGGACAGGTGATAACTGCCTTTCCTTAAGGAAAGCATCCAGGCAGAATCAAACAAACATAAATGGAGAGAATTAGTAATATTTTGTGATTAAGTCCTCACAAGCTGGTGCTTTGAACTAGTTTGGCCAAAACGCTGGGACATCTCTTCTGGGAGCAAGAGGTAGAACTGCCTGTTGGAATTTTATCTGTTGTTCCCTCCACCTTTTTTGATATAATTTCCTTTGAGCAGTGCTCTCACTGGAATACGTAACAAGGGAAAAAACTTTGGCACACTTCTGTGTTTAAAATAAAATGTGAGGTGGCCATCAAAGCACCTCAGCTGACAGGGACAGCAGGGGAGCACCTGCCTGGAACTGACACCAAAGACAAGAAAATTTCAGTATCTGCTGAAGACATTATCTTAGCTGGCTCTCAGGTGTCAGTTGTGTGCACACATCCTCTCAGGAGCAAGAAGTGAGAGGAAAGGGAGAGAGGATGCCTTGAGAGAGCCAAGCAGAGTGTTAACAGATGTGTAAGATGTACTAATAGAAAGTGTATGAAACCAGGCCGCTCCTGCAGCCTTGTAACCCCAGAAACACTGAAATAATAACCATTAAACCGAAGTTTGGAAACATTTTATGAGGGCAAATAACCTCTAAAAAGTACATTTTTAGGAACAAAAGGAACACTGTGGTTCTGAAAACCACAACACACATCTAAAACTAGTTTTATGTTTTTAGGGGAAGGTAGACTTAGTTTCATGCAATATTTGTTTTGCATTTTGGAAGATACAGAAATTAGTCTGCTAGCGGTGTTGTGATGTTTGTATGCTGATTCATACAGTCAGGATTTATCAATAAGCAGCAAGAAAAAGCGTGTTTTATGAAGTAGTGAGTTAACTAAATCTAATGTGGTTTGGCCAACAAGGCCTGAAAATGTCCAAATGGTCACACAGTGATCACAAAGCACACAGACATGAGATAAGGACAAGGGGCTGCTCGTGCTATGGGCCAATCCCAGCAGGCTGCTAGGGGTGGTACAGATAACACTCAGCTGTGTTCCCACAGAAGCATTGAGCATTTGGATACAGGAGTCACCACTTGTCTGCAAGAAGGATCAGATCTTTGCCATGACAATTTCTTCCATTACTTAAGTTTTAGAGAACTAGGAGAAGTTGTTCTATTGCACCAAGCAATACATACCTTGTGTTTCCAGAAGTCAATTTCCAGTGGAAATGTCAGCATTTCCTTTATATTTAAAGGGAATACAATACATTTTACATTCCCTTTTACATTTTGAACTGCTGACTGTAAAGAAGGCAGCTTTAACCATTCAATAGAGGTCAATCTGCTGCAACAGTGTCTCTAGCTAGTCCTCTAGGTACATAATAGGCCTCTGGAATCAGAAAAGCTATATGGATTGATCCAAGCTCTTCTCCATTCCAGCCTAGAATGCTGCAATCCAGATAACCTATTTCAGTTTGACTTGGGTCACATATAAACATTTTTTCAGATTTTTGCCCCAGCAACCTTTAGAACAACCTAGACCAACGTGGTTTTGAAGCTAAAAAAAAAATAAATTTGGGCTTTCAGCTAGGGTAGAAGAATACAAGGAATCTGAACATATGCAAAGACACTCTAGGTCAAACCCTTACCAGGCCAAATATTCCCATAATCCTACAATAATAAAATTATTATAATTAAGGGCTAATTTAAGGAATGTACAGTATTTACAAAAATAGATAGAAGATACTAAGCAATAGGGGAACAAAGTAAAGGGATATTAGGACAAAGCTAGGAAGGGGTTCCCAGGCTCTTCCTATTGTACTATTGTTTCCTCTCATAGTTGAGTAGCAAATGCCATTCAGGGCCTACCTAGATGTACTCATGATAAGAAGCCCTGGAGAGAGGCTATCTCTAGCACAAGGCTAGAGAAAGTCTATCATCTTGCTCCACTGAAAGTCTATAGTATCTTATAAAGGAAGCCCGTAGAAGCTGATGGGCCTGTCTCCCAGCTCAGCAGGAGTCAGTAATGCTCTCTGCTCCCATGAATGTGGGAACTAGTCACAAGCACTTGTCTTAGATTACATGAACGAGTCTCAGAACAGTGGAGTTCTTTCTGTAACATCAGAACATGTCAAATTCAGTCCTCAGGCCAGTTCACTTCAGTTCAGGTATGAGCTGAGACCAACTAATGTCTGTTCCTAAATTTTCATCCTCAAGACCAGGAAAGCTGATATCTAGAAGGATTTTGCTGAGACTGTCATTCATGGTGTCCAGGATAAGGCCCTCCATGAGTGACCGGTTTTCAGTAAAGCCAGAGGCTGCCAGTTCAACAGCGGATTGCTTGGAAGTGTCACGAATAAACGCTGGAGAGCTCGTGAGGGGCACAAGGACCATGTCACTGGATTCTGTATTGAGCAGTTCTCGAGGAGAATCAAAGAGAGGATTTTTAAGGGGTGTGCTGTTAAAACCCAGCAAATCCTGGTTGTCCTGGAGGGGTGTGAATGGCAACTGAAGGGTTTTCACTGGACTGAAGTCCAGCTCATGACTTCCCTTGGCTAAGGAAGCAGACTTCCAGGGATCAAGGACCTCAAGTGAAGGGGTAGTAGTGGCTGAGACTTTGCTGGGAGTGGAAGAAACAGGCAATTTGCTGAAAATGTCTTTGACTGGTGTTTTAAAGGCTGCCTCTTCTCCCTGTGAGCAGCTGAGCTGTGATATGTTCTCAAGGGGCTGGTTTTCCTGGGGGAAGGGACGGTCTGCCCCTAACCGGAAAGAGTCAAAGCTGCTGCTTTCTGGCAAAACAAGGACAGGCTCTTCTGAACGAGACAGTGCTAGGTGTTGTTTCCTTCTGGATCTGCCCACCTCCCTCCTTTCTCTCCTCTTTATAACTAAAGAGTCAGAAACTGCCTTAGGTGGGGACTTCAGTGTGGTGAACTGTTTCCTCTCCTTTGTGGATGAGTCTGGGAGGAACAAGCTTGGCTCTTCCTTGACCGTTACAGTTGAGGCAAATGGGGACAGCCAGGGATCCAGCTGAGAGCCTTCTTCCTCCTTGACACAGGCACCCTCAGGGAAAGAAGACAATTCCTCCCCAGGCTGGGAGCTGTTCTCCTGTACAGAATGGCTTGGGGAAAATAAACCTTCATCACATTGACCCTCCTCCTTGACAACAGCCGTGGGTAAAGAGGGTGACTCTTCTGCAGACAGTGACATCTACAGTGAAACACAGGTGACATGCAGTCAGTAAGCAAGGACCTAAGCTACCCAAAAATCCAAATAACCATCAAAAGAAAATAAAAAAGCCTGACATTTAAGGTCAGCAGAAAGGGTAAGAGGAAGATATTCAGGAAGGAGTAATTATAACAGACTGAGATTGATCTCTGTGAAATTGTTAGAAAGAAGCCTAAGGGTCTCATGGGAAGGATTCTAGCTAAGTGACAAAGTCATACCCTTCAGAGCACTCCTGCTCTGAAGAACTTCTGGGAGTACAGGCAGAAGGAGAGCTGAATATTTCTGGAAAAAATATAACCCCTTTGATTTTTTTCTTACATTATCTAAATGGGAATAACAAAATGAATGAGGACAGTTTTCCCAGAAACGAAGGAAAAAGAAGAGACAAAAAATGAGGTTATCAAGAGAAAAAGACCACAGGAGAAAGATAAATCATAGCTGGAGAGAACATAAAGCAGCAGGCATACAAAGGAAAATAGGATTATGGTTAGACAGGATGGAGGAAGCTAAAGCTTTACAATGTCGACACATAGAAGAGCAGTCAGTGTGAGATGCCAAGAAAAAGATCTGTTTAATAGCTGTTTTTCTTGAGCCCAGAATAACTGTGAACCTCACAGAATTAGCAAACATCAGATATGGAAATCCTCTGGGAAGAGACTACATGAAATATACACCCTTTTAGAAGTTCCTAATTGTTACTTGTCTACAGAGCTACCAAAAATATGAGTGTTTTAGGATAGAGCAAGCCATTCCTCCCATTTTTCTTTCTTCACATCCCAGCAGTAAAGAAAAATTGTCTTGACCAAGCCATAGGGCCCCTTCCTCTAGTGAATTATGGAAACATCCTTAGAACAAATAAACTAGGAGGTAGTAGTCAGCCTAGAGACAATAAAGGATAGCAAGGATTATCACTAACTAGTTCCTTTATAGGAGCTTGGAGTTTAGAGCACCAAAGATAAAGGAACAATATGAAGAAAAGGTTCATTGAGGGCAAGAGATATTAAGAAAAAAAAAAACAAACCCAAAAAATCCAAGCGAACACTCCCCTCCTTAAAAAAATCCCCACACCCTCCCTAGCCCCCTCCTCACCTCACTTATAAAAAAAGATAAAAAAGAAAATAAAGAAAAAAAAAACAGGAAAAAACCCACACTAACCTCCTCAAAACTCCTTGGAAAACAAGAAACCAACCTTTGGAGCAATGCACACACGCTTATTGCTCTGCAAAGTCTCCGTGCTGTTAAGGGATGCTCCCTGTGCCACGGACAGGGGAACCTTCATAGAAGGCTGCAAGACAAGAGGCTGACTCAAAGGGAACTGGATTGGAACCAGGTAGGAGTTGACACGAGGAAGCAAAGGCTTCATCTTTCGGCCTGGAAGGGAAAAGAAGGGACTCACTTTTGCCTGTTCTCCACTGCTATCTCTTGAAACCCAGGCACCTTAGAGAAAGTCCTTCTAGACACCCCAAAAGAAACATTTGATCAGATCACTTGCTTCTCTGCTAACTTTAAGGATACAAATACCAAGCCAGAAGCCTCATGAATGAGAAAATAACCTTTCATGCAGATCCTACCCCTCAGGTTTGGGCTCTCATCCCATTTGAGTGCCCATTGCCCAGCATCTCACCATCACATCCTCTCAGATACAACACTGCTGCTTTCCATTTCAAACCTGGCAGTAAGGAGCATAAAAGCTGGCAAACAGGGATAACACACTCCACTCCTAAAGAAATCTGGGAGAATGCCCCAGGTTTATTGGATTGATTCTCTTTGGCCTAGAGTGATGTGGACACTTACGTGAATTCTGGGGTTCAGTTTTGCTTCCTATGTTCTTCAGAGGATCTGGAACATTACTCTTTTGTTGCTGCAGTCATTGTGAGATAAGAGGAGAAGGAGAAAAAGAGAGATTAAAGAAAAGAATCCACATTTATTCTGCTGCCTCACCGAGAATTGTGAAACCAGAGGTCTGTGCTGGACTAATGCAAAGAGAGCAGCTGTTAGCACCCAACATTCAGGCTGGCTCTAGGTCTGTGCCACTTGCTGGTTTGTAGCCATCCCAAAGCCAGCTGCCCACCAAAAGCTGTGTAGGAAAAGAGATGACATGACAGAGCTGCTCCAGCTGCAGACTCTACTGCAGAAGTGAGCTGGTTTTGGCACCCTCTGTGCCTGAGAAACAATGACTAGGATGGCTTTATTGTCTATTGGATACAGATAGGTGTTCAAATGGAATAGGAGAGGCAGCAATGGGATCAGAATTCTGAGCAGATGGAAAGAAGGCCAAGGTTGTAGCTGTGACAGAAAAGTGTTTGACTGGATGTTTGCAAATCAGGCACTGTTAAAACTGCTGAATGCGACAGCAACAGCAAACAGGTTCATCGTTCTAAGAGTCACTCACAATGCAGTGGGTTCCAAAATGAAAACCCACAGAGAGATCCTATTCTCTCTGGATCTGAGCTCCAGAATACATTGGAACTGTTGCCATGGAGATGATTTTACCAGAAATCTGTTTGGGCTTGTTCTCTGAAGCCTATCAGTGTCCATTGCAGCCTACTTCAGCAGTAGACTTCCAGGTTGCTCTAAGCTGTCCAGATTTACCGTTTTGATAGACTGTCAACCTTTGGCTAGACCCCTCTCCCCTCAAAGGGTAAGCACGGAGCTGTATGAGCAGATGCAGCAGTGACACAGTCCCCCTCCCCAAGCCTGTTGTCCTTTCCTTCAGTGAGTGGCAAGAAGAGAATGGAAGATCAAGCCCCGAGTCAGATGGTAATTCTTACTGATTCAGAGTACTCAGGCGATGTTGGTGACCCCAAGTCCAGCGGCTGCCAGTGGCAGAAGGCATTGAGCAAGAAAAAAATTTAAGATTGTTATCAGCCAAAGAGGGAGACAAATGGGACATTTAAAACTTGTACAATCAGAGCAAACAAAGAAGTCCACCCACCCACAACAGCAAACACAACAGTTTTCTAAACACAACTATACCAGATTCTCAAGCTCTATTTCTCTAACAAAATCTTCCTAAAATACCTGTTTGGGCTAGCACAATTCCATCCTATGACTGACTTATCAAACAGCATAGGAACACCTGGTTGGCCTCAGTGTAAATCTTCTTATTAGGAATTTATATCAGGCCCATGGAAAGAAGGTGAACAACCTATTATATTTGGCAGAGCACATGAAGAATAAACACATCTTACAGAAGCTCAAAAGCACAGCCGTAGCACCTTTTCTTTCAAATGCAGCGCTTGTCTATTTGTCAAGTGAAGTGACTGAATCCAGCTTCTACAAAGAGGCTGAACTCAACACAGTTTGACCTTACAGTTAAAATAAGGTGCATCAGGCTAGTGTGGCATTTAGAAACTGGATAGCCTGTCCTATTTTCTTTGTATGAGGCAACTCACCTTAAATACCTGGTCCAATGTTAGGCAACGGTTTGCATCAGGGTGAATAGTCCAGAAGGAGATTTTACCATTGGCAGATGTCTCACGGACAAACATATCATGAAGGGACAGGTTGTGCCGGATGGAGTTCTGAGGAGAAAGGAGTGAGGGGAAGGTTGAAGAGCAGCAGTTTTGTTATCAGCACAGCAAGGCCTACCTCAAACATGGCTGCCCTAGCAGAGGAATTACATTCCAAAGTGCAAACAACACCCAACTTTCATGTTCACAGCATACCCAGCCAACCCTGTCATCAGTCTCTTATTCTATGTACTCCTGAGATCCCAATTCTCACTCCAATGATCAAACATCCCATCATCTTGTTTAAAGTAGGATAAGGCAAGGGATACAAGATGTTCACTGTACATCTGGAGTGAGAGTGTATTTGGGGTGGAATGTTTGAATGAACTTCCATCTTGCTTTGCAGGCTGGGGAACAACTTTTCATTTTGATCCAGAAGGCATGTAACATCACCCACAGCAACCTGAGGGCCTGCTTGTTACCTTCCAACCTGGCTTAGCTACATGTTTAAAATAAGGGAAATGATCCTCAATCCAGGTATAGATATCCTTCAGGGTCATGCGCTTCCTCTCCGTGCTGTTGATGGCAAATTGGATCATGGCCATGTAGGAGTAAGGAGGTCGCTCTGACACCGAATCCTGCCATGAGGAGGACCCAGCAGCAGTAGGAATAGCAGCAGCAGCAGCTTCCTCTTCAGTCTGAAAGAAAGATTCAGTCTGAATGAATGTTCACGAGGCTGACAAGAAGGCCCATGGAACATCCCTGGATCCTCTGGGTTCTGCTATTCATATCAGTAAAGGTTAAACTCAGGTTACTTAGAGATAGCAATACCTAATTCTTGCAAGTATTCTGATCCACCTAGATTACCTCCTTATCAAAAGTTTTAGCACACTCTTGTATTCTCCTACTCACCTTGACTCTTTCCTGCAGAGGTATCTGATTCTCTTTCTCTGTGTCTTCCTTCACAGAAGAGGGATTTAGCCCATCGGATCTCATCTTCCCCAGCCACTGGATGTTGGTGAGACTGTTGTCCAACACAGAACTCATTGTCTCGCCACTGCCTGTTGGGATAATAAGCCCACATAATAATCACAGAATAAATTAGGGTAAAAGAGTCCTCCAAGACCATTGAGTCCAACCTGTGACCAAACACCCTCTTATCAACGAGACCATGGCACTGACTGCAGCATCCAGTTGTTTCTTGGACACCTCTAGGGATGGTGACTCCAAACCTCCCTGGATAGTCTGTTCCAATGCTTGACAACCCTTTTAGGGAAGAGGTTCTTCATGATGTCCTATCTGAACTTTCCTTGGCACAGCTTGAGGCTATGCCCCTTTTGTCCTGTCATTTGTTACCTAGGAGAAGAAGGCAACCCCTACTGCTCTACAACCCCCTTTCAGGCAGTTGTAGAGAGTGACAAGGTCCCCCTGAGCCTCTTTTTCTCAGGCTGAACAGCCTCAGCTCTTCCTCATTAGACCTGTGCTCCAGACCCTTCACCATCTCTGTTGTCCTTCTCTGGACATGCTCCAGCACCTCAATGTCTTTCCTGTCATGAGTGGCCCTAAACTGAAAAGAGAACTCAAGATGTGGCCTCACCAGTGCTGAGTACTGGACAATCTCTGCCCTGGTCCTGCTGAACACAGTACTGCTGGTACAGGCTATGATGTCATTGGTCTTCTTGGCCATCTGGGCACACACTGGCTCATGTTCAGCTGCTGTTGACCAGTAGTCCCAGCTCTTTTCCTGCTGGGCAGTTTTCCAGACACTTTTCCCCCAGCTTCGAGCACTGCCTGGGGCTGTTGTAATGCAACTGCAGGGCCTGCTACCTGGTCCTACTGAACATCATGGAATTGGCCTTGACCCATGGATCCAGCCAGTCCAGAGCCCTCCTGCCCTTCAGCAGATCCACACTCCCACCCAACTTGATGTCATCTGTGAATTTACTGAGGATGCCCTTGATCCCTTCATCCAGATCATTGATACACAGAGAAAAACAGGACTGGCCCAACTCTGAGCCCTGGGGAACTCCACCAGTGACTGGTCACCAGCTGGATGCAGCACTGTTCAGCACCACTCTCTGGGCCCAGCCATCCAGCCAGTTTTAACCCAGTCAAGACTGAACCTGACCAAGCCATGGCTGCCAGCTTTTCCAGAATAATGCTGTAGGAGACAGTGTGAAAAGCTTTACTGAAGCCCAGGTAGGCTACAGACACAGCCTTCCCCTCACCATAACTGCTTTCTCACAAGTAACCCTGCTACTCCTTCATCACAGCTGTCAAAAGGAAGGCACCAGTCACACTTCTAAAAGATGGTACTGCAACACTAGTACTGTGGAAGGAATTCACCTTGAATTCCTGATTTCATGTGTAGTTGCCCAATTTCTGAAAAGAGCTGCAGCCTTAAAAACAAACACTCAAACCAGACTATTGTCAACCAAAACAGGACAATGTTGATCAAGTACTTCAAGAAATAGACAGATTTAGCACAAAACTTAAATCAGAAGCACAGATGTCTTCCACCAAAAAAATATGTCCACTATAATCCTTCAGATTTCACTACATATGTAAAGCTATGTACATTATTAGAATCCAATCCATAGGTATTTTGTAATTAACAAAATATTAATTACTGCAAACCAAGATGTAAGTGCTGCACTCCTTGGCCCATTTCACATCTCTTTGTCTGTCAGGACAAAAAAAAACCAGGTAAAGGCTACATACTGTCCCTGTCCAACCACAGGACCAACTCCTGAACGCCAGAGCTCTGTACTACCTGCAAGACCAGATGTCTGTGCAACATTCTTCTCTCTTTCTTGAATAACTGCAGCCCTGATGGCTGCACTGGATTTCTTCTCTGACGGGAGATGCTGCGATGGTGCTGGACCTGCTGAACGGGATGTGCCCCCACTGCTAATGAGAATGAATTTATTGGGTCCATTGTTGCCACACTCTTTTCCTTTTGCTGTCAATGCCTCTATGATGCTCTGGATATCAGCATTTGTAGGGATGGCCACCACCTGTGTGTTGGGCATTGTGGGATGGTCAATTATCTTTATTCCTGCTGGGAATTTCTGCAGGCCACCGTCCCTTTTGTCTCTGGGTTGTCTGTTGTGTTGGTCTTCCTGCCTGTGCTCCTGCTTAGGAGCCTTTTCATCCTGACCTCTCTTCTCATCTCTTGCTGAAGTACTGGATTCATCATTCTGTGGGAGGGCCAGTTTTCGTCTTTTGAGAATTAAGGGCCTGCGAGGGCTGGTCCTCATTATTGATCTATACTGTCACTCTCCATTGAAAGGGAGAGAAACAAATCCTGCAAAACAAAAGGTACAACATAAAGGGTGCAGCAAATCATCTCAAGACCTCCCACAGAGCACATATTCTCAGCAGTTGCAGTTGCTACAAAGCTAGAAACGCAAAAGGAAAATTAAAATTAAAAGCATTTAATAAGGCAGACAAGGCTACTGAAAAATCATACTCCCTAATCCACACCTTGTGTAAGCAGGATGAGAGAGCAGCAGAGTAGATAACTTGCATCATAAAGTACATGATAATGAGCAAAGTGTGTATGTGCTTTACAAAGATTTAGCTGTAGGGCAACTTGACCATCATCAGCCAGCAAGCTGTAGGGGAGGTGGAATATAGAAACAGCAGTGCTGATTCTTATAGCTGATTGCTCTAAGCAGCAGATTATATAACCTGTGTGAAAAGGGAATTTACAGATGGTTTAAGATCTGGGAAGCAGAGATTACCCTGAACAGTACAAAAGCACATAATAAATGCAGCAGAAGTAAGGTGCTTTAAGCTAGACACCAAGTAAATGTGCTTCTAATTCCTTTCGTAGATTTGTTAAGAATCATGTAAATTAATCATTGGGTAGCATACAATTTAGATGTCAAACTTTTGGACAATAGGTAGTTTAGACTATAAAGCTGGAAGCAGAGGAAATGAAATTCAGAGATACTGCTTCCAGGGTAAGATGCTATGAGAATATTGCTACTAATGCCATCAGGAATTTGGTGGAGCCTGTGCCTTTCTGAAAACTAAAGCAGAACAATATGCAAATTGTAGTTATTGTTTGTCATTAGAGATGGCAAGAAGAATAGAAACAGATACCAAAAAAGAGAGGCCTTTTGCATTACTAGATTTGACGGGGTCAGCTAGTAAATGAGAAAATTCTCAGTAAGAATCCCCTACATTGATAGAAAGCAGAGTCCAGCAGATAACAAGCTGAGCTAACGCCCTATGTACAGGGAGCAGACAGCCCAGCGATCATTCCACGCGGGTTCTGGCACCCGGCACAAGCATGGCCCTTCGAGACCTGCTCCACCCCCTTAAGGAGAGACAGCGCCAAAAGCAGAACCCTGAGCCAGCCTCCAACAGGCAGCGTTCCTGCGAGCAGGAACAGGAGCGCGTCACTTCCCAGTGAGGCCTGGATCTGCTACCCCATCCAGGCCCGGGAGCAGGGCTGTGTACGCGCGGCCCCGCGGGGGCAGAGAGGGCACGGCCACAGCGCTCCCAGCTCCTCTGTCACCCACCCCAGCCCCGCGCTGCCGCCCTGGCCGGCGAGTTCACTGCTCCCCGGGGCCTTCCACCCCGGGCCGGGTCTGGGCGCTGCCCTCTCCCGGCCGCGCGGCGGCCTTACCGCGGCGCTCCGAGGGGCGCCGAGCCGTGCCGGGGCCCCGGAGGAGCGTGGCGGGCACCGGCGGTGACTCACCAGCTGCCGGCCGGGGCACGGCCGGTGCAGGGCGGCGGCGGCCCCGGCGCTCTCGGACCGGCCCGGTTTGAATTTGGCGCCCGGCGCGGCGCTGGCGCGGTCACGTGCCGGCCTGCGCCAGTGAGCGGCGGCGGGGGCGGGGCCGGCCCGGGCCAATGGGCGGCAGCGGCGGCGGGTACGGATGTGCGGGCGGGACCGGGCCCGGGTCGCGCCGGCACCGCGCTGTGCCGCCCTCGTACCGGGACGGCCGCTCCCGCCCGGCCGCGGCAGTGCCGGCAGCTTCCTTCAACCATGCCGCCCGCGGCTGGGAGCCCTGCCGTGCGCCCGGGCCGCCGGCAGCGCGCTGGCTCCTGGTGAAGGGCTGCGGGGTTTTACCGTTTAACGTGTGTGTCACGGCCGCGCCGGGCTGGAGGGGGCAGCAGGACCCCCGAGCACGCTGCCACTTAGGTAAGCAGTCAGGCTGTTGCAGTCTCATGCATTTCTCATGAAATGTTATCACGTTTTCTTGTCTGTGCTGATCTATGGTAAGTCAGGTAGGTGAACATGAGCCGGTTGTGCCCGGGTGGCCAAGAGGGCCAATGGCACCTGGCCTGTGTCAGCAACAGCGTGGCCAGCAGCGCCGGGGCAGGGACCGTCCCTGTGTACTCGGCACTGCTGGGGCACTCAGAGTGCAGCGCCCAGTTCCAGGCCCCCAGTTCAGACAGGACATTGAGGCGCGGGAGTGGGTCCTGAGAAGGACAGCAGAGCTGGCCTGGAGCAGAAGTCCCACGAGGAGTGGCTGAGGGAGCTGGGGGTGTTCAGCCTGCAGAAAAGGACGCTCAGAGGGGACCTCAGCGCTCTCTACTAGGGCTTGAAAGGAGGCTGTGGCCAGGTGGGGGCTGGCCTTTCCTCTCAAGCACCTAGTGATGGAACAAGGGGACATCATCCGAAGCTGCACCAGGGAGGTTTAAATTGGGCATTAGGAAGAAGTTCTTCTCAGGAAAGGTGAAGACATGCGAATGGGCTAGGGAAGTAGAGTCCCTGTCCCTGAAGGTGTAGCACTTAGTGCCATGGTTTAGTAGCCATGGTGATGTTTGGCTATAGGTTGAATTTGATGATCTCAGAGGTCTTCCAACCCAATTGAGTCTGTGAATTTTTCCAACAGAAAATTAAATACAATGTTACTTCAGTTCAAACTTATTCATTAGGCAAAACAAATAATGCAAGATCTGTAGAATACGGGAGATGTCAGCTGTTTTGTAAAAAAGAAAAAAACAAACTTAAAATCTCTTGAAATTAAAACACACAGGTAGTTAGCAACCAGAAAGGGAAAGAGCTCTGATTATCTTAGCCCTACTATATCTTCTTGGCGTTACAAACAAGACTGAATACAAAAAAAGAAAGTTTTTTGACTTTTTTGTTCTTTTCATAGCTGACTTGTTCTTTTCATAGCTGGATCAGTAGGACAACAGCTTCCCTTCCTGCACTGCATTTCTAAATCTACCTGAAAATTGACAAAAGGTCCAAGAACCACTATTGGGAAAAAGTCTGCCTCAAGATGTGTACACTGTGCTCTTTTGCTTTTGTTAAAAACTGTATCTGAGGTTTCCAAATTAGTCTGTCTTCAAATCCATTTGTTTGCTTCTACAGATTTGAGAGCACTTTAGCATCGCCTCAGGGTGCTTCCATCTTTCTTCAATTGGCTCCAACAAGCATCATGAGGTTTCTAAGTAGTTTTACCACACCTTTTGATGCCTCCAAAGAAGAAGTGTACCCACAAGGCCAGGAAGGCAGAGCTGATTTTCCTTGAGAAACCACGGGCAGGACCCATCCATTGTTATGAAGCTCCACTGCATTTGGCTGAGAATCCCAGACGTGTGCCTACAAAACCTGTAGACCTGAACACCTCTGCTGCCTGGGTTGGTACAAATTATCTTTCCTCCTGCATCCCACAGCAACAGTTTTCAAGTTTCTCCTGTTTCTCCTGTCTTAAAAGAAAGTTATCTGTTCTGGATATGGAAAATTAGTAGCCCAGACCTGAATTCCTTCTATCAGTCTAAAGCATAAATAAGTGCTTGAGTTGCTTGACAACCTAAGAATAAGCACTAAGGTCTTGGTTACTTGAAGACATAACTGTCTGCAGTGTGTACTGATTAATGAATATTTGTCTTCTAGAAAAATTATTCCCATCAGGAAAACACTGTTTTCCTTAGCAACCAAAACCTCTGCACAAAATAAACATTAGGGGAGTCTTTTCTTATTGGCTTGCTGTTTAAAATAACTGCTGAACTCTAAATGTTCGATGTTAAAGTATTGAGTGTATTGTTTAAATCTGACACTGCTAAATTTAGAGAACATAGGTTTTTACTTCAGAATCATTTGTTTCTAACCTGCTCTCTTTTCTATTTCTGTTTTTTGAGTAGTTTCTCTCCATACCAATCTTCTGATGGGTTCACTTTCTTGGGACTGTTTGCCATGTCCTAGAATACTCTTTATATCATGTAATATAAAGCTTTAGTTTTTTTAAGCAAACAGCTGCAGCAAAGACAGACTGTTCCTATACAACAGTAGTCATCACCTAGGGGAGCTCTGTTTAAACATTATTGCTGCTTGACTGCTCTTCACAAAGCAAACTCAGGAAGAGTGGTTTCAAAACTGCATGAAACATTCCTTTGTTCCTGTTGACCTGCAGGTATTTTTGTAATGCCTTAACCTTGAAGTAGAACATCTTCAATTTTTTCCTCTTTAAATTTTTTTTTGTATCTGTTTGAGGCAGTTAGCTCTACAGTTTGTGAATCACTAAGTGAAATAACTGCTGTGAATAAGCATTCATTTTGTTTGAAAGAGGTGGAAGCATCCAATCTGGTAGCTCTTTGATTCCTAAAGTATTCTAAAATTTGTTTGAAGGTATCAGTATTGAAACTGTTAAATATTTCTCAGTTTGGTAACTGGTAGGTTTGTAACTTCTGGAGGCATCCTCTGCAGAGTGTCTGTCAACTTGTTTCAATGGAAACTGATTTTCTGCTCCTCTCTTTTTGGCATTATCTAAGTTTTACATACCTTTTTCACTACTAGGTTCCTGCATAGGTAAAACCTACCCTACATGTTCTCTGAAGCCGGAAGCCATATCCTTAAAATCAGGGACTATGTTAAGTATGTGCTAGTATACAATTATTACAGAATCATTTCTCTTTTCCTGCAAAATGGCTTTGGATTCAAACAGTTCAGCTGTATATTAGACAATCACCATCCTTAGTTAAATAGCACTCAGTGTTTTGAGGAACTATATTGTAACCTAGGAATGCTGAAGGAGATCTGTAGCTACCAAAGCAAGAACTCAGTTTGGTGTGCTCTTGGAAAAGCAAACTGGAATCTAGAGTCTGACTCTTTTGTTGGTAACCAGGAAGACAAACACTGTAATGAAAGGATTTTCAGGGTTTGAGAATGAGTCCAGAATCATTCAAAGAAATACAGACTGTTGAGCTTGGACCATCTCTTCTATAGCAAGCTGATTGTAGAAGTGGATTTTGGGTGATCTGTTACTCCACAATACAGAAATTAACTATGTTTTGAAACAAAGATGTTTGGGGGGAAGATTTTGAACACCCTATTAACATAATCTAAGAGGATTGAGCTAAGTGGGCATTCTTCAATCATTTTGTGTTGCTCTCCCAGTTCAGCCTCTACTTCTTTGGGGGAGGCTGAGGATTTAGTTCTTTGAATCTATTTGAGTTATGCTAAGACACAGAAAGAAAAAGGATCTCTTCTAAACTTCCTTAAATGTGCAGGGGTTACAGAAGCAGACACCACTTAGATTTCCTTTAAAACCCAGATCTTGAGCTCTTTGTGAGTTGCCAGAGAACAGCTAACTTGCACCCCAGTTATTTTCCAGAGAAAAGTGGCAAAACATGATGTTGAAGTTCAGAGGTTTCTCATGCATAGCAGCTTTGTTAGTGACTCATTTGCTTTGCTGCAGATTACTCAATGAACACACTGAAAAAAGGTGGGAAAATAGAATCAGGTAGGCATTATTTGTCTGGAGGAAAGGGTTGGGTTTTTATCTTATTATGTCTTTCCCTTCAGGTATGCCCACAATTTGATGCAACTAAGTCAGTGGTGTTGAAAGCATGCCAGAAGAAACATCGTGGTCCTCAGAAGCCCTATAATCAGGATGCTAACCACAGTTCATTTCATGCAGGCGGAGCTTGCCAAGGAGCTGTGGCCTGCAGATTTCCTCCTTTAACTTTTGAAAATCCAGAAGGACATGCAGTCCCTCTGTTGGATGATCCAAATTGCTTGAGAAAGAATGCACAGTGCTCTCCCATCCAGCCTAGGAAAGGGACAGCAGCAAATGCCAACATCCAGGTGAAGAGCCCAGAGAACTGTGGAGAGCTTGCTGTGGAGCAAGATGTCCTTAGTCCCTCAGATGCAGAGGCTGCACAGGTTCCTTCTCCAAGGAATGGGAGATGCAGCAGCACTCTATCACCAAGCAGTCATGCCTGGCATCCAGAAGAAGAGTTGCCATTTGGTACTGATCCGTGCGGGAGAGGGGAGGCGGCAGCAGTGCTGGTTACAGATACCCCCGAGCACGAGTACGGAGTAAAGGTCACCTGGAGACGGCGGCCGCACGTCATGAGGTACCTGCGGGAGCAAGGCAAGCTGAGCGCTGCGGACATCCTGGTGAAGGCAAACCTCGAGCTCTCGAGGAGACAGGCCCACAGCTGACCCGGCGGGAGCAGCCACTCTGCTGCGTGCGAGGACACGCCCGAACAGATGATGTCCCTTCGGGGGCTGAAGAGGGACGCGATTTCAGCCGGGCTTTCTACTGCGCCTGGCAGAGCCTCCGACAGACGCCGGGGCGGGCGCGGGGGCGGCTCTTGGCGACGGGGGAGGGGGTGGGGGGCGTATTTGGGGCGGTCTCCCCTGGGGCAGTGTGTGGGGAGGGCTCAGTGCCCCGCGGTTCCCGCCGCGGCTGTTCCCCGCTGCCGGCGGAGGCGGCTCACGCGGCGAGCGACGGGGGCGGCCGTTGCGTCCCGCCGCGCGTGCGCGGCGCCGCGGCCAATCGGCGGGCGGCGTGCTCGCGGCTCCGGCCAATGGAGGCGCACCTCAGTGCCGCGCGCCGTTGCTAAGGGCAGCGGCGGGCGAGGGCCCATAGCAACGGCGGGGCCGCGATGGACGCAGCGGGGGCACCCGGTGGGCCCGCCGCCCACAGGTGAGCGGGGCCGGCGGCGGCGTGCCCGGGGCCCAACGGGGCTGGGCGGGGGCTGCCTCGCGTGGCGGCAGCGCCCGGTGCGGGGCTGAGCGGCCGCAGCGGGGCCCGGGCGGGCGGAGCCGCGCGGCGGCGGCCACGCGGATCGGCGCTGCCCCGGTAACATCCGCGTCCCGCCGGCGGGTGACAGCCGTGCGGCTGTTTTATGGGCGGGTGTGTTTTATGTGTTGGTGTGCATCGTCTGAATACTTGTAGATTAAACCGGTTTCATGGTGTCTTGGTCCCCTCCTGGTTTCTGGGTGCTGCTGTGAAGCGTTTTCGCGGTGTTATTCAGCCCCTCTGCTCCTCCTCATGAAGCTCTCTGGGTATTTGGTATCACTCTCGATGGGCCTTAGCAAGAAAAAAAGGAGGAATGAACTCTGAAATGAACTCAACTGATGTAATAGGAAAAACAGCTGTGAACTATGGAGAAGCGGTTTTGGAAAGACTTTATGCTTGTGGCACTTAAGTAGCTCAAAATCGAAATTATTTGAAATTAAATTTGAGTGTACTGGCAGGCAGAGAAAACAGGTTTTGGCAGAATCGGTATGATTGCAAAAAAACCCAGGAAAATCTTATCTTTGTGCCTCTATTTGGATAGGAAGAAGTAAAGCAAGTAAAGAGAGAAACCTAATTTTTGGGTAGTGAAACGATAATGAACACAGTGTAGAAGAGAAACCATACTTTTTTTATCACATACATTGTTACATTTGGTAGTTTAAGGAGGATGAAAAGCAACAGTAAGAGTTAGAAAGGGTCCTGTAATTGCTTGGATCCACCAAATATGCTATGGAACATCAGTTTACTTTATGCAGACTTGAAAGGCCTCAGCTTGACTAGCAGTTCTGGAAACAATTTTTAAGTATGTTATGTCCAGATATGTCTAAATTTCCCCGCACAGGAGACCTTTAAGTTTGACAGAGTTGACACTACAGGAAGTAATGCTGCTCTTCTGGTAACAGTTCTACTGGCATCATTTCTTTCTGCTAAGAAACTTGTCTCATGTGCTTTTATGGGTGCCCCCCAGAAACAGGCTAAAAATAATGACAATTCATGGGATAGCTGCTTCCCTCCCATCCCAGTTTATTAAAGAAACATCCATTTCTATAGCTTTCTCAGTCCCCATGGCTAAGGTAATAAAACTAGAATACATGAACCTAAAGAAAAGTACATAGTTTTAAAATAGATCTGTAAGGCTTGTTGTTTTTAGAGGTGTTTATTTTTCTGGAGTGTTCATCAGCATTGTAATAAATTGGAGGAAGACAAATGTCTGTATTCTTAGGAAGGTTCTTCTTTTCTGAGACAAAAATAGTAAAATTATCCAGAAGTCAAAAATCTGACTACTAGAACTCTTGTTTGGTAAAATAATTGTCAGTTGTCCAAACAGTGGATTTTATAGAAAAGGTTAATGTGATACATAATAACTGTCACTTCACGGCAATGAAGATCCTACAGGTAAAGCTTAACAAAGCTGTACCTGAGAACTGGTTGACTGCATTTTGTTTTGGCCATTTTCCCTCCAGGGGTGGAATGCCTTTACTATTGAGCAATGTGAAAAATACACATAAAGATATTGGAAGTCTTTTATTTCTGATGGACAGAGTAGAATATTACCAATCAAAAGTTAATGCATATTGTTTTGTAAGTGTGCTGTGGGATACATGATGATGGATAGACAGCAGAGATCTTGGATTTAGGCCATCTACAGGCTCTCACTTGCAAATACTGTGTTGTGTTAGACTTCCTTCCACTGGAACTGGCTGCAACTGAAATTGCTCAACTTCATTTTAAAATTTGGCTTCAGGTAGACATGGTACAACTGTCTTAATGCTTTAGAAAATGATAAACTTGATATTGCTGTTTCATGGTTTTGGCAGGTGCTAGACCTTCCCTCTTATTTGAGGAAGTCCATTTGGAGACTTACCATGAAGTTATTAGTGTAGAAACATTCAGGTAAAAATAATTCTAATTAATTGTAAGCTTTTAAAATATTGTGAAGGAAATTTGTTTCTTATGGTAGTATGTATTTTAGAATCTCTGAGACCAGTGGGCTTTGCCCTTTTGCACACTAATCACACAGTATCCAAAGCTTACAGCTTCCAACATGCTGCATTCCAAATATGCTTCAGCTTCTGACTTGCAGATGTCATTTAAGAGGAACAGAATGTTCAAGGGGCAAAAATCTTGACTGAGTCTACAGAGACTACAAAACTGGATGTCAATTACAGCGGTCCTGCCCTCATTTGGATGCTTCCTTGGGGTCCAGACATGCACCAGGTAGTGGCTTTCTGTTTGGGAACTCTGGAATTCTGGGATATTTCCTCCCAAAGTTAATGAAGAAAAACAGCCTGTTGCCAATAAGCAACAAACTATTAAGAGCCCACAGATTAAGAGAAGTTGAAAACTTCAAAAGTGGTAGTTGTCTGGCCGGAAGCTCTTTCCACATTTTGAAACTCGAGTGTTGTTGAAGTTGTCAGGAATCTCTGTGCCTGCTGGGCTTGAGTATTTTGTATAAATGTATAAAATAATAATTATGATTTTGAGGAGAAAAAAGACAAAATACTTCGCTAATTATTTCAGCTGTACTTGTAAACCAGAGAAGACAGATAAGTTTAAAATTCCTTTTAAAAGTATCTCTATTAGTCCTTGGGTATTTTTATTTAGCCACCAGTGATCTTCTTAAAATTAACAAGCAATGTTTGTTAAATTCGAGGACTTACAATTCTGCAGATCTTATCCTTAGATGTTTGAGAATTGGCTTAATATTCTGTTTTCTTCACCCTTTTCAGCTCTAAACATTATAATGAAGAAATCTGTTCAAAGTGAGATAAACCTGTAAATATTTTATAAGTGTGGTTGATATGTACCCCTTGGAGTACAGATTCAACTGAAAAGAAAACCTTTTGTAATTTGATGATGCTGCTGTTAATGTGAATGACAGAGTAACCTCACTTGCTGTGATGTAGACAGCAATGGCAAGAGAGAATGTGTGACTAAAATTTCCAAATACAGTTTGAGATTCACTTAGTAACAGCAATTGTAAAGAGGTATCCTAAAGTTAAACCTTGTTTGAATTGTCTCTTTAGTTTCTAGTTACCTCTTCCCATCTCTTACCACCTAGAATTTATGTTACTGGTGACCCATTTTTTTTATAGAGCCATTACTCTTCTGCTTTTTGTTTTTTTTAATCATGGTGTAACATTGGTAGGAGGGGAAAATGTGCTGACTTAATGTAATTGTGGCTTTTTATGTGTGAAAACTTTCTGCAACCAGGCTTGCACTGGGATAGCTCCAGACTCTTGTTTTGTTGCTGAGGCACAGCTGAGTGATCTCCAAAATAAAACTGTGTTGTAATTGGGTCATGGGATGAATTCTCTTCTAAGTGGATTTGCTGATATGCCTGGAGATGTTGCCTTAGACTACTGCAAGAACATTTAGGCCAGCTCTTAGTGCTCTTTAAAACACACTCTGTGGGATGTTTGAACTCTTAATTGCCTGGGTTCTTGCTGTAGGAGTCTGGGTGCTTCTACATTCCTTTCTGACTTTGCACTCTTATGCGATATCTGAAGCAAAAAAAAGAACAAGAACTAAAATCTAGCAGTGATATCTTGCCACGTCACCTAGTTTGAGACTGAAATGACATTTTGCTATTTATGTCTTTAATGGCTTTCCCTTTCAGTTTTTCTAAAATTAAAAAAAAAAAAGACTGGAAATAAAGGTCTACAACCAGTTCAGGAGTGTCTGTTCAGAAAATTTCACGTTTCTTTCCCTATTTTTTAGTTTGAAATCCTATTACACAAGTGCAATTCATCTTCTCAAGCATGATGCACTTCTTTTCAGGGAACTTTGAGTTTTGTTACCTGGTCTGGGTTAAGCATAGCAGTGCTACTTAACTACTGCCTTTGTTGCTAGGAGAGAATAATGGCTGCTCTACATTTCACTGGCTTCCCGTTGTAATGAGGTACATCAACAAAAGTTACAGGCAAGGTTTAATAATTCACAAACAGAAGATCACAGGAGACAGAATTCTACCCCCCTGGGGATCTTGCTTTCCTCTTTCCTTGGGCAGAGGTGTTTCTGTAAGTGAAATGACCATGAGGATTTGAAGCATGTAGTTGAGAGGAAATTAAATAAAAAGGTGAAGTTCTACTTGTGGAATAAATTTCTCTTTCTTTTCCTTAGCAGAAACCTAAGTTTCATTAGGTCCAACTGAATAAACCTGAAGCATAGTGCAGTTGTAGTGGTGGTTAGGAGCTGAAAAGTCCTGAGTCATGGAGTCACCAGCTGTGAACTCCTGAAGGAATATGCCTGACAGGAGGTCCCTTGAAAGAATTATAATAAAAACCCAGTTGAAACCCCCTATTTCGCTACACACTTAAAATATAAGTTTATGTGCATATTCTTATGATTGTGTTCCTCTGTGCCACCCTCCCAGCATTGATGATGGCTTTGATGGTTAATGGCTTGTGTGGATTTCTGGCTTCTCTTGGCCTTCCTTCTAGAAGAGTACTTCTTTTGCTTTAGGATTGCAGAAATTAATTTATTTGAGACTGAGACTTGTGGCTAAAAAAAACAAGAATCTCCTTTCTGTTCTCCCAGTGCAGTATAGCAGAGACTGACACAGGCTTTTGTTTGC